TTTGTATTATGCATATTTACTCATGATCATGAGACTAGATAGCATATCACAATCTAAACTGACCATCTTCTTGGTCTAGTGGACATGGTGTCTAACCAAAGTGTGAAGGTCATATGCTTTATCTCCAGTTTTTCATACTGAAGAGGGGATTGGACTGGTTAAAGTGTGTGGCCGAAGACCTGGGTTCAATACCCCACATGGAGTAGCCTTTCTTGTGTCCCCACCGTGATATTGCTGGAATATTGCTAAGTGTGTAAAACTAAACTCAGTCAGTCAGTCAGTCATACTGAAGGTGGCGAAGTAGCCTAGTGGTTCGAGTGTGTGCTTTCGTCACCCAATACCCCACATGGGTACAATGTCTTAAGCACATTTCTGGTGTCCCCCTGCCATGATATTGCTAGAATATTGCTGTAAGCGGCGTAAAACCATACTCACCCATCATTCTGAAAGATGTCAAAAGTCTGTACTTGTTGTTACTCTGCCTGGTGCTTGGCTTTAAGGGGATGATACAAGCACCGGTCAGCTTAGACTTGGCATATCACGTGTGAATGGGGTATCCATGTTAAACTGCAGCATGGTATCTTAGTGAGGTAGTGTTAGGATTGACAGTTTTCTGGAATATTACCAGCAGCCACAGGTAGACAGACTGACAGAGACATAGGCACACACAGATAGCGATGACCTGTGAAGATCCGGGTTAGAATTGGTCTTCAGCAGCCCACGCTTGTCGCAAGAGGGGACTAACGGGATCGGGTGGTCAGGCTCGCTGACTTGGTTGACACATGTCATCATATCCCAATTGTGTGGATCGATGCTCATGCTGTTGATCACTGGATTGTCTGGTCCAGACTCAAATATTTACAAAACGCCGCCATATAGCTGAAATATCGCTGAATACAGCATTAAACAACAAATTTACAAACCAACCCAATTGCGTAGATCGATGTTAGTGATGTTGACAACTGTATTATCTGGTCCAGACTCGATTATTTACAGACCACTGCAGTATAGCTAGAATATTGCTGAGTGCTGCGTTAAACAACAAACAGACAGATAAAGATAAACTGACAGATAGACAGACAGACAGACAGACAGACACACTGACACAACATCTTGGAGGTGACATTAAAGCCCTTTCACCTCACTTCATAGTAACCTAAACAATAAAATATTTTCATTCGACACATCGCATAAATATATTTCCAATGTAGCTATGATGTGGTTGAGACTAGTATTGATAGTGCTACCATCATGTCACTGACGTCATTCCCCGTTTATTGTGCCAGCATCTGTGACAATGACACAGCACACACAGTGGGTGGGACACACACTCAATACACAAGTAGGTCATGTCATTGTCATGACTGAAAGGACTCACCTGGCTGTAGAAGCAGCATGACAAATTTGCCATGTATCGATGAAACGTGTTGTGTCGCAAGTTATGTCTGGAAAGATTGAATTCGGGGTCAGTAAAAGTTTAGGTTGCGATTATTTGAGAATTGTTGATCTGTGGGTCCGGAAGCTGTATAGATGAGTCATACATATTGTGTTGAAATTGATGTCAGTTAAAGTTGAGTTTAGGATTAGTAAAAATTTGGGTAGGAATTGTTTGGCAATCATTAATCAGTCAGTCTGGAAGGTGTACACTGATATGAGTCATACATGTATATTGTGTCAAAATTTATGTCCGTAAAATTTGAGTTCTTTATCAGTAAATATTTAGAGGGGGAAATTATATAATGCTCATTGATCAATTGGTCGGGAAGCTATACACTGATATCTCAAAAATGTATGTATGTCACTAAAAATTGAGTTCTTTATCAGTACTAATTTAGGGAGCGAGGGAAGGGGATTATTAAATACCTATTGATCAATCAATCTGGAAGCTATACACTGATATGTCGAAATTTATTTCACTAAAAATTGAGTTCTTTATCAGTAATAATTTAGGGAGCGAGGGAAGGGGATTATTAAATACCTATTGACTAATCAATCAGGAAGCTATACACTGATATGTCGAACTTTATGTCACTAGAAATTGAGTTCTTTATCAGTAAAAATTTAGAGGAGTTGGGGATGGGGGTTGGGGATTAATAAATACTTATTGATCAGTCGGTCTGGAAGATATACACTGATGTGTAAAACTTAGTGTCAGTAAAAGTTGATTTCAAGATCAGTAAAAATTTAGGTGGGAAGCATTTGTATGCTGACAAGAGTCATAGTTCCCAGGGTAGTGCACCATCACTGGTCCATCACACACTGGTCACCCGGAATTAGGTTGTGTTAAAGATGGTTTTGATCATGTTCATGAATGTAAAATATTCCACCCTTAGCATACAAACATACAAAATGAGAGAGGGTAACATCTGTATGATAACTGGAAGTCAGCTGAAGCATACCGAGACAATGTGCTTTAGATGGGCAGCCTGGTGATTAATTGGGAAAACCTGGATTTGATTCCCCACATGGGTACAATGTGTGAAGCACATTTCTGGTATCCCCAGCCATGATATTGCTGGAATATTGCTAAAGATGGTGTAAAGCCCAACTCACTCATTCCATGATGTGTTTGAGAGATCATTGCCTTTTAGTGTATAGCTGAGGTTCCTGTGGAATCTAACATTGATTGATACTGGCACATCCCTGAGGTAATCTGAAGGTCAGATTGAGTTATCTGTGGGATGGATTTAATTGTGAATGTTGATCCTTCTCTTGAGTCATATGACAACAGACCCATGCAGAGCCGGGTTTGAACTGGTCTTCAGCATCCCATCTCTCTCTCTCTCTCTCTCTCTCTCTCTCTCTCTCTCTCTCTCTCTCTCTCTCTCAACCTCTCTCAACCTCTTTCTCTCTCAACCTCTCTCTCTCTCTCTCTCTCTCACTCCTCTCTCTCTCTCTCTCTCTCAACCTCTCTCAACCTCTCTCTCCTGTCCTCCTGTTCTCTTCTTTGGTGCCTCTCCACCTGTGAAGATCCGGGTTAGAATTGATCCCATGCTTGTCGTAAGAGGCAAATAATGGGATCGGGTGGTCAGACTTGCTGACCTGGTTGACACATGCCATCGTATCCTTATGGCGTAGATCAATATTCAAGCTCTGGATCACTGGATTGTCTGGTCCAGACTCAATTATATACAGACCACTGCCATAAAGCTGGAATATTGCTGAGTGTGCGGCATAAAACTAAACTCACTCACTCACTCTGTGCCTCTCTCTCTACCTATCGACTTGTTCTTTTACCTCTCCTCCACATGTTTGAACAGTGTACCAGTTGGTCTGTATACAACTAGGTGGTCTGTTATCTTGGAAATATTTCACTACGCAAGGTGAGCTACAAGCCTGTGGTAGCAGCTCCATCTATTTGTTCATGCAGGTTGTTAATGCCGAAGAGCCAGCACAGAATCAGACATGTAATGAATGTGAAAGTAGCAAGATGACTTCAACTCTTTCAAACTTTTTAGAGAACAACAACAAAATATGTGAATAAAAAAACATGCATTACAACTTTCTTCTGCCCAACCCCCTCTCATTACCTAAAAATGATTCAAGTCAACTATATCGATTTCTGCAGCTACTGAATTACATCCTCCTGGCCTTAAGGCATTTCAAAGGTTACAAGCTGAATTTCCTGTTGTGTGTCAACACCATTTCAATTCCCACCTCTTAGTATTAGTCCTGTTTGAGCCTAGCATGATTAGCATAGACAGTTCATAGTTAGTCTCACATATCAAACTGCAATAGCATGATTTCAAGTGTTCATGATAATATATACAAGCGATATTGATTTCTTAGTCATGTTCTATCCAAGCTCATCAATGATAGATCATGCCTGATCTGCTTGGCTGCGTTCAGCAGAGATCAGCTGGTGATACATACACGTTTCTGAAAATGTGAAATTGACGAGCAGTTTGCTGCTTTTCAACGAAGTTGAAATTGACATGATAAGGACTTGATTGGGTTGTTTGTAATGCTGGTCATGAATAAAACATGATGTCTGCAAGGTGCGATGCATCATTATGGGGCTTGTCTTTCCCATTCTTTGCCGTTTTTGACAGAGCTGATTTCATGTTGAAGGCATGATCTGTGTTACTGAAGGTTATGTCATGAAATTGAGTGATGTTGATTTCAAAAAGAACTGATGAAATGAAATGGAGTCGTTTTTGAGTGAAATGACGTAAATGACGAATTTAAAGAGCTGCATCACGGAACATGAAATCTGTGTGATAAAATTATCTCCAAAAATGGGATCCTAAATCGAAAATAAAATAATGTTTTTTGTGTATTCTTCACGTTTGATCACACATAAATCCATCACTTTGTCAATTTGTCAATATTGATCTATCATTCAATAGAGTTACTTTAAAAAGCGATATGTTTAGGATTGGTTTCGAGAATTACGATTGTTTGGTGTATCTTGCTTTGCATGACAGTGATATTCATTATTTTGTCTGTAATAATCAATACTGTTTTGTAAATGAGGATGTGTTTGATGTATCTGAAGACAGATCAATTTTGTTTTCTTGATTTTACAACATGACAGATTTGGTGGAACATGATGATGAAAAAAAGAAAGAAAACATATTGTCCGGTTTATTAAAACTGTTAAAAAAATGTAAGAACACACAAAGCATGAGTAAAATGTGAATACGAAAAACAAAATTAAAAATTAATGCAATATTAATCCAGCTTCATGTAGACAATGTGACAAGATTGATCTGACAGAAATATGAAAAATATATACATGAAAATTTAAACAATGACAACATGGCAACATGAATTATTGCTGAAACATATACTGAGGGAAACAAATAAGGGAACACCACTTCATGGCAGTGTTCCTTTATTTATTCTCAGATTTCCTCCCACAGCGCTATTCAAAGCTGGTGGTGAAAACTGGAAAATATTAAAGGAACAGTTGAATTTTCCTGTGTTCCTTTATTTGTTTCTCTCAGTATATTTGGAGTTGGGCCCATGGGCTGATGATGTGTGTTGGTGTATTCCAGATCTGGAGATTCTCAATGGACTCAACTGGACAGCCCAGCTGGACAAGGTGTTTGAGGAGAACTACAGGATGGACCCTGAAATCTTGTGGCAGTATTTTGGCAGTCAGGCAGGCTTCATGAGAACATATCCAGGTGAGGATAAGGATTTGTTTATGTTTTTAAAAAAAAAATGTATTATAGGATGTTTATACAGCGCACATATCCACGCACTTATCCACGCAACTAGTACATGCTCAAGGCTCTGGTTTTTTCCTCGATCATTGGATGTCAATCTCAACAGCACATCGTGTTATCAATCTCAAGTCCCTGGGGAGTATACAACTCATGCAGCCACAAGGCGCAACAAGTTTATGTGACTTTCCCATCCTTACGAGGTCTTATCTCTCCCCAAAACATTAGTTTGAAATGTAAATAAGAACACATCAATTATTTTTTGATTTTGTCAAATTAAAAAGTTTATATGTATGGTATGACGAGACACTAAAATATTGTTCTCCATACACTATTTGGGTTTTTACTTTTTTAATGTTCGACAAGAATGTTATCGGTGGGGATGACTCCAAACTGACTGCCCTGGTACCTTACCTGACCCTATCCACGTAGCTGCTGTAGGGCCCCGTGAAGATTGGGGTTAAAATTGGTCTTTAGCAACCAATGCTTGTCGTAAGAGGTTGTAAGAGGATCGGGTGATCAGGCTTGTTGACACTTGTCATCATTTCCCAGTTGTGTAGGTCGATGCTCATTTTGTTGATACTGGATTGTCTGGGCCAGCTATATATCTAGAATATTAACAACAAATAAAATCACAAGCCTTCTGGAGGTCTCCTGAGCTGGGTACAGAATGTTGGATTGGGAACACTGGTGCTCTGGCAAAAAGGATTTTGATACATGTATAAACAGTCTGGCCATGCATAGAGAGAAGTTGACTGAAGTTTTTTCTGTATTCAGACATTAAAACATTACATAAACATTACTGTCATGTTATGTTGGCTGGTTTGTTTGGTGTTTAACACCTCACTCAGCAATATCCAAGCTATTTGATGGCGGTCTCTAAATAAGCAAATCTGGACCAGACAATCCAGTGATCAACATCATGAGCATCGTTCTATGCAATTGGGATATGATGACATGTGTCAACCAAGTCAGCGAGCCTGACCACCCGACCCCGTTAGTGGCCTCTTATGACAAGCAAGGGTTACTGAAGAGCAATTCTAACCCGGATCTTGGCAAGTTTTTCTTTTTACAAAGAACTGTTACCTGATGTATGTTGGCACTTAGCTTTCTAAACGTGACCACCTGAGTTTTTGGTGCACAGTTATATTATTTCTCCTTCTGAAGACATGCCCATATGACATCCTATAAAATCAACTTTAGAGTATATGTTGCCTGTCAACACCTACTCTGAGAAAAAGTAAATATGCCAGTATATATGAGTCATACAGAAATTTCCCTTGTGTCGTGATCCTTAACCATTGAGTTGGTATCTAGGCATGTCAACCGTGTTCTATTGAATTTTTGTCATTAAGCATATATCACATGATAAACCATAGGTTCTGTACCAGCCCTGTAATGATAACACCTGTGTGGCTTTATACTGGAACAAAGGCACAGTGTCTGGGACCGCCTCCGTGGTGTAGTGGTTAGAGCATCCGCCCGGAGAGCGGAAGGTCGCAGGTTCTATCCCAGACCGCGTCATACCAAAAGACGTTAAAATATGGTACTTGTTGGTCCCTGCCTGGCGCTCGGCATTAATGGGTACAACAAGGACTGGTCGGCTCGGAGTCAGTATAATGTGTCTGAGTGGGGTATTCATGCTTCACTGCGGCATGGTATCTCAGTGAGCTAGCACTATAAACCCAGCTTAAGTCTGGGCTTAGTACAAGCAGCCGCACATACACATACACACGCATGCACGTCGTCATATGAGCGAAATATTCTCAAGCACGACGTTAAACCCAATTTCACCTCACCTAACAGTGTCTGTAGCAACCAGTTACTGGTGATTGTGCTTCTTGTCTGTGAGACAAGCAAATACAGTTAACTACAGCTATAACAAACTAAACCCACTCATTTTAGTTCGTTATAACTGTAGTTAGTTATAGGCATTTGACAGTATTAATAAAACGTCTGTGATCAGAGTAATAGTTCATTTTTCCGTCAGTTAGTTAGAACCATGTACTGTTATGTGTGATATTATTTGTTCATAAGCATGGTAATTATCAAACTTTGCATTATTGAAGAATACTTAAAAATGTTATTGTAAGTTTTTCCTGCAGTTTTCATTGCTGTATCTGTAGATCTGTAAACCACCAAAATGCAGAAGTATTGCCACAGAAGTGCCGTCAGTGTGCATCACATTCAGGATTGCTTTCATGCATATTTCCCAATGCCTGTCTTATATTTCATGCAACATATGAGTAATAGCGGCGTAAGGTACACCAGGACTGGATCTTATCATTCTGCTTTGTGGATTATTTGAATAGCGTCCAGCAGTAATCTACATGTATATAAGGAGCATCTGGCCCTAGTCTGTCTCACAGTCCGTGAACCGCATTATTTTCCCTTTCGTCCAGCCCTTTCTGTGATGCTAAATCCCTAAATGAAGCAAGTCTAGATTTCCACAGGTTGACTCCTTCTCAATATAAATGGAATTATTTGTTTCTGTCAAAATTATATATATTCAGAGACTAAGTTTAAGTCTACATCCTACACTTACTGAATAAGATGAGAGCTTGAGACATGTAATAATTTTAGAGATTACTCTTAGATCTTTAATTCTATTTTTTTTTAAGATTGTAATTTTGCATCTTTCGCAATCTCTAAGTGCAATGTGATTAGATATGGGCATCACTGACTTTGCTCCAAGCTATAGGTGTCTCTAGTGGCCAGCTTGTTAATTTTAACCTGATGAATGTCCATTTACTTGCAAGCATTTTAGACCAGTAATCTTGCAGCACCTGCTGTCTGCTAATGTGTGTCTGACCCTGAGTTGTACGTCCATGTGCAGACACTGCTGATGTAGCTAAGGATGGATACTTACGAACTTGACCCTGTCCAGTTGCTTGAATGCAGCCTTCATGGAATCTATCTATTAGGGCTGTGCAATATTATCGGTAAACCGGTATATACCGGTACAGTATCTCACGATATGGTTCAGATTTTGCAATATATTGGGTCATTCAGAGTTCGCTCCCTTTCAATTATCTGCCCTTGATTTCTGTAGCAACAACATGTGCCAAATATGTTATTATTTCTGTAGATTTCATGTGACATTTTACAAGTGGAAGTATCTTTATAAGTGGTTCCAAAAGTGCCAAACATTCTACCCAATGCTTTAAGTTTTGTAGGTTTGAATGGTTACATATGTGACATTTTGATATATAGAGGCCTCAAATGAACTGTTTTTATTACCCAATGTCTTCAAATTTGGTGATAGCCTACATTAGGGATCCGTCATATGCAACACCAAGCTTTATCTTGGGTGCACAGTCAAGTTTGACCTTCACTTAATTTTCAAGGTCATACGACATGTTGACCACTTCAGCATGTTAACCTCTTGTTATGCTTGTCAGCGAGACACCTCAAGAACTGTTCCATCCAATGTCTTTATATTTGACACAGTTTACATTGGGGATTATGCAATCACCAGTCGATTTGGGTGACCTTCACCTTATTTTCATGGTCATGGTGACACTTTGAAAACAGCATGTTAACCTGCATGTTATGCTTGTCACTGATACTTCCAAGAACCATTTTGGTGACCTTCTACATTAATTTTCATGATCACAAAGACACTTTGAAGATTTCAGCATGTTAAAAGCATGTTGAGATAGTCAGCAAGATATCTCAAAAACATTCACTGGATTTTCTATACAGTCAAATCCCGTGGCCAATGCGGGTGTCAAATATTATGCACAGCTTCGAAGTACCTTCGGTCCGGATTCCTATTATAGTTGTCACCATTTGAATACCGGTTACGGGTGACTCTTGACCTTATTTTCAGAAGGAATTTGGTCCATGAGATTCAAACAACAGCACTCTTGTTACATAAGCCAAAGTCATCAATGAGAAGTTGACTGTTGTACCCAATGTCAATTAACAAACCAGCGGCTCACACCTTTCCACCACCTTTTTGTGGTGATTCAAAGGCAGATTAGTGATTTTACGGAAATCACTGTCTGTGCTAATCAGACTGGAACTGATAAGGTGCCCCTATTAGTGATAGGGAAATCATTAGGTAAACAAATGCTTAGGTGGAGGAATTAGGACTGCATCATGTTTTTTTCTACCCTCATAGACATACCTATGTCTCGAATACATCGATAAGTCGAATGTATTACTTGGTCCCCAGCGATTTGACTCATCGGGATTTGACTGTATTTGACACCAAGCTTGATCTAAGGGCAGGACCAAGTCAATTGTGGTGACATTCACGTAATTTTCAAGGTCACTGCGACACTTTGAAGATTTCAGCATGTTAACCTGAATTCACTGGATTTTCTTCAAAGACTTTCAAGACTTCCCTTGAATGTTTTTCAAAAACCAATTTCTTTAGTACTAGTTTTGCATATTTCATACACTGTGACATTCATGTCAAGGTCAGTGTCAGATTTGATCATTTGCGGCAGGGCATTATGTCACCATTTTGTTATTTTTGTTTATTTCATAATGGGACATGTGTTATCAATTCATCATAAAGGCCTAAGTCTTATGAATTTTGTAGGACTGTACTATGACAATCTAGTCAAGGATCTTAGTCATTGGTGATCACATGAGACTTTAAGCTCAAGTAGTTCACCTAAATCATAATTTTGTTTCATTTTGCAATAGTTCATATTAACACATGCTTATATTGGAGTTGAATTTGAATGAATCACTGACATACAGTAACAATAATAACATACTGCATTGAAGTGCATTCTGTTGAAGCAAACAACACTGACCATGAAAATCATGTTATACTACTACCTTTATCATTATGTTCGCAAAACATCAATTATACATTCCACATTAAGGCTATATATCATGTTATTTATCTTTAAACCATTGGCATACAGCCATACACAATGGGGACGGGGAGCCTGAAAGTATGGTGTAACAGCAACTAAGAAAAAGATATCCCACACAGAGAGCTATTATCAATTTATTATGTACGCACATTTGTTCAGAAATCTTCCAGTCAATATATCACAATATGTATTGCGATATCTCTTACATTATTGCAATATATCCCAATATGAGGATCAGGGCAATATCCAGCCCTACTGTCTAGGGGTTACACAGTATTCAATCTCAGCCTCACAAAGGGATCATAATTGTGTGGCTGTCGTAAATCAGTGATGAGGTTGGGAGTTGAGACCGTCGTAGCTCCGATGACTTTCTGAAATGGTCCATTTAGTGCTATGTTGCTCACTGCCAGGTAGGATACTTGTGTGTTTGTTTAACACCATACTCAGCAATATTACAGTTGTATAGGGGCGATGGGGTAGGTAATGGTTAAAGTGTCCACTCGTCATGCTGAAGACTTGGGTTCGTTTCCCACAGGTTACAATGCATGAAGCCCATTTCTCTGTCCCTCGTCCTGATATTGCTGGAATATTCCTAATAGTGGCATAAATCCATATTCACTCACTCACTACAGCTGTATGAAGGCGGGGCGGTGGGGTTGCCTAGTGGTTAAAGCGTTCGCTCGTCACGTCGAAGACCCGGGTTCGATTCCCCACATGGGTACAATGTGTGACGCCAATTTCTGGTGTCCCCCGCCGTGATATTGCTGGAATATTGCTAAAAGCAGCGTAAAACCATACTCACTAACTCACTGTATGAAGGAAGTCTGTAAATTATCGAGTCTGGACCAGACAATCCAGTCATCGACATCATGGGTATCGATCTACACAAGTTTTAAACAAATTTCAAATCCGCAATGCTGAAAAAAAATCTCAAATGCTTCCTCTGATCAAATAGGTGTGTCATCATGATCATTTATCACATGGAATTTAAGACTGACATTACACAGTTTGTAGAAACTTGACTTTGATTCAGATCAAGAAAGAAAGATGTTTTCATTCAAAAAATGAACATGCAGCACTTCAAACAGTGTATTGAACACTGAACAGCACGACCAGTGAGTAGTCACAGTCTTGTTAGTTGTGTGACAAACCTGTTGCTATGACAACCAGTAGCTTGATGTTCACTCAATGAGTTTGAGTTTAAACTCAACTAGTTTACACAATGCTGATTGGCATTTTTATAAGTTGAAGTTAACCATAAATTGAATATTTTCCAGGGAGTGCATGGAAGGAGCGAGGACAGGTTGACCTCTATGATGTCAGAAGACAGTCATGGTAAGGAGCTTACATATATGTTCTGGATTGCAATAGAAAAGGAATATATAAAAACAATAAATAACAATTGTTTGAAATCACATGAAATAAATGACTTGGGGTTTTGACATTGCATTAAATGAAATGTGAGAACTCATCATATTTAAAAAAAATATGAACCTTACAAAAACTTCAAGCTTGGCAACATAGTTATTTAGGATCATAAATACATCCTAACAGAAAAACTGTCCAATTGAGGAGAAGAGGATGAGAACTATTATGATGTTAAACAAATTTATGGACAACAACTACTTTTATTTCGTGAGTGCGAAGTTTCGATTCAGATTCTTGTACCGTTGTCAAGCACTCACGAAATAAAGAAGTTGTTATCCATAAAATTTGTTCAATATTGTACTTCCCAACTTCTAAAATACCACTCAAAGAAGTTATTATGATTGTGGTAAAGCAAGGAGAACGACTGGCAAACAAGGGTAAGTTGAGCACTGACCTGACAATTGACCTGTTTTAGCATGTATGAGTGCCACCCACTGGTGCTTGCCATTGTTAGCGAAGGGGCCCCAGGTTGTCCGTGATCAAGTGTAGTGAGATGGGTGAAGCATGTGGCCTGTCTTAGCAAACACCCGAGTTCAACAGTGGCAGGTGCATGTGTTTGCATTTTGCGTTAAGAAATTAATGGGAATTTATAGTCTCTCATGACCATTCATGGTTGGCTCATAAGTTACTATGTTTGATACCTTCACAGAATCTGCTTTTAATATGAGATGTATATATATCTATATATCCGAATATTACCAACTTGCTACACTGACCACGTGAGAGTCTTATGAGCAAGGCGTGTGCAGCTAAACGTGCGGAATCAATTTCATCGTCATGCAATGCACGTGCACTGGCCTACATCTGCTCTACCTTTCACAAACCAAATGGGTTTGCTGATTGCCGTGCACCACCTACTTCTCGTAAACGCGTTTCTCTGCACAGGTCCAACTTACCCTTGTTTGCCAGTAATTATTTTCTTCCTTAATGAGCTGGGCATTTCCCTTGGTTTGCAGGTACACGCAAGGATCCAGTTCACCCAAGGACATGATGATCCTCATTGATACGTGAGTGTGGAGTCATGATCACTTTTGGTGTACACTTTCTCATAGATCACCAAGATTACGGGGGTCTGCACCAAAATAGTAAACATCCAAGACCTTACTTAATTCTTTTCCCCTAAGTCTAATACATCATGACATAACTGGAAAAAATTCAACTTGATGCCATAGAGGTCTTGATAGGTTAAGAATATTTATGTGGCGTAAAGCAACATTCATTCATTCATTCATTCATTCATTCATTCATTCATTCATTCATTCATTCATTCATTCATTCTTGATATGTTAATTAATGAGTGAGTGAGTTTAGTTTTACGCCGCACTCAGCAATATTCCAGCTATATAGCGGCAGGTCTGTACATAATCCAGTCTGGACCAGACAATCCAGGGATCAACAGCATGAGCATCGATCTGCGCAATTGGGATACGATGACATGTGTCCACCACGTCAGCGAGCCTGACCACCCGATCCTGTTAGTCGCCTCTTATGAGAAGCCACCAGATCCATCCCCAACAAACAGATCAGGCCAGATCAGTTCACTGAAACAATGTCCAGATTTTGTTTGGAATGGCAGGTAGTGGAACTTTAGATACTGACTTGCTGTTGAGAGGAACCTTGTGTTCTTTCAGGAGTGGGAGTACTCATGGCCAGGCATTACAGCTGATGAAGGTGGCTGTCAAGTCCATCCTCGACACGCTGGGAGAAAATGACTTCGTCAACATTGCTGCAGTGAGTTTTTCTTAGGTTCATATCATGATCCTGTAGAGAGATACATCTTTGTGCTATGACCATTTGCATTCGTTTTCCTTCATACCATGATCTCTTAATAGATAATTATTCATGCCATGATCTCTTTGATAGATATTTATTCATACCATGGTCTCTTACATAGATAATTATTCCTACCATGGTCTCTTACATAGATATTTATTCCTACCATGGTCTCTTACATAGATATTTATTCATACCATGGTCACTTACATAGATAATTATTCCTACCATGGTCACTTACATAGATATTTATTCCTACCATGGTCTCATAGATAATTATTCCTATTGGTCATACCAGATAATTATTCACCATACTCTTACATAGATAATTATTCCTACCATGGTCACATAGATAATTATTCCTATATTTATTCATACCATGGTCTCTTACATAGATTATTTATTTTCCTTACATAGATAATTATTCCATGGTCACTTACATAGATAATTATTCATACCATTTTCACTTACATAAATAATTATTCCTACCATGGTCACTTACATACATAATTACCATGGTCACTTAAATAGATAATTATTTATGCCATGGTCACTTACATAGATAATTATTCATGCTATGGTCTCTTACATAGATAATTATTCATGCCATGGTCTCTACATAGATAATTATTAATACCATGGTCTCTTACATAGATAATTATTCCTACCATGGTCACTTACATAGATAATTATTCCTACCATGGTCACTTACATACTGCCATATAATTCCTACCATGGTCACTTACATAGATAATTAGTTCATACCATGTCACTTGAAATAGATAATTTTGATTCCTACCATGGTCACTTACATAGATATCTATTACCATGGTCTCTTACATAGATAATTATTCATACCATGGTCACTTGCCTGCGAGGCAAGGAGATACTTACATATGATCACTTACATAGATTATTCATACCATGGTCTCTTACATAGATACATTTATTCATACCATGGTCACTTACATAGATAATTATTTATACCATGGTCTCTTACATTGATATTATTCATACCATGGTCATGGTCACTTACATTTAGATATACCGGTCTCTTTATAGATGATAATCATTTCACTTTACATTGATACCATGGTCTCTTACATTGATATTTATTCATACCATGGTCACTTACATTGATAATCATTTATACCATGGTCACTTACATTGATATTTCTTCATACCATGGTCACTTACATTGATAATCATTTATGCCATGGTAACTTACATGGATAATTATTTATACCATGGTCACTTACATTGATAATCATTTATACCATGGTCTCTTACAATGATATTTATTCATACCATGGTCACTTACATTGATAATCATTTATACCATGGTCACTTACATAGGCTTCAGTTTACTCACCTGTTCAGAATCCAGGAGTGTATGTGTTGATCATGTTGACTGGAACCACAGTTGACTGATTGTACATGACAAGAAAAAGTACAGTTTTTCTTTTATCTCACACCGTCGTGCCGAAGACCCGGGTTCGATTCCCCACATGGGTACAATGTGTGAAGCCCATTTCTGGTGTCCCCCGCCGCGATATTGCTGGAATATTGCTAAAAACGGCGTAAAACCATACTCACTCACTCACTCACTTTTATCTCACACACACAAATTTATTTACATTGGAACTGTGTTGATCAGGTTATTTGGATCATTGAGAGAACTACACAGGGAAATCACGTTGATGTAATACTGATATAAGCATGCATATCACTTACTGTTAGAGGGATGAAATATTATGCTAGACGGTTCTATTGATTTATGTTGAGTGCTTATTTCACTGTTTTATAGATGTATGTAGAGGAAAGAATGTGCCCTTTGGAGATGATAGATGTGCTGTGTAAATAATTGATGTGGTATTATATCAGTAATCAGTATTTTTTCCCCTGCAGTTCTCCTCAGACGCACAGTTTGTCAGCCGATGCTTCAACCATACGCCATTTGTACAAGCCACTTACCGCAATAAACAGGTAGGCCAATGTTACCTGCAGGTGTTCCCTGGGTATTACAGAAGATTGATATTCTATGTTGGGTTGCCTTTGCTTGGTTAAGGGTGGTGGGTAGCCTAGCAGTGAAAGTGTTCACTTGTCACGCCGAAGACCTGGGTTCGATTCCCCACGTGGGTACAATGTGTGAAGCCCATTTCTGGTGTTCCTGCCATGATATTGCTGAAATATTGCTAAAAGCGGCGTAAAACTAAATTCGCTCATCACCATTCTTTTTCAGTCACATTTCTAGAATATTGCTGCAAGCAGACAAACACACAGACAAACGCACAGACAAATGCACAGACAAACACACAAATCACACAAACGCACAGACAAATGCACAGACAAACACACAGACAAACACAAAAACAACCCCACAGACAAACCCACAAACGCACAGACAAACCCACAAACACAAACAAACACAGACAAACGCACAAACACACAGACAAACGCACAGACAAATGCACAGACAAACACAAAAACACACAGACAAACCCACAAACACACAAACAAACACACAAACACACAGACAAACGCACAGACAAACACACAGACAAACACACAGACAAACGCACAAACAAACACACAGACAAACACACAGACAAACGCACAAACAAACGCACAGACAAACACACAGACAAACACACAGACAAACGCACAAACAAACACATAGACAAACACATAGACAAACACACAAACACACAAACACACAGACAAACACACAGACAAACGCACAAACAAACGCACAGACAAACACACAGACAAACACACAGACAAACGCACAAACAAACACACAGACAAACACACAGACAAACGCACAAACAAACGCATAGAGACAAACACACAGACAAAGCGCTACAGACAAACGCGCACAAACAAACACATAGACAAAAACACATAGACAAACACACAAACACACAAACACACAGACAAACACACAGACAAACGCACAAACAAACGCACAGACAAACACACAGACAAACACACAGACAAACGCACAAACAAACGCACAGACAAACACACAGACAAACACACAGACAAACACACAGACAAACACATAGACAAACACACAAACACACAAACACAGAGACAAACACACAGACAAACGCACAAACAAACGCACAGACAAACACACAGACAAACACACAGACAAACACACAGACAAACACACAGACAAACACACAAACACACAAACACACAGACAAACACACAGACAAACGCACAAACAAACGCACAGACAAACACACAGACAAACACACAGACAAACGCACAAACAAACACACAGACAAACACACAGACAAACACACAGACAAACACATAGACAAACACACAGACAAACGCACAAACAAACACACAGACAAACACATAGACAAACACACAAACACACAAACACAGAGACAAACACATAGACAAACACACAAACACACAAACACAGAGACAAACACATAGACAAACTTATGAATTGTGAAGTCTTTGCTTTGCCAGAGTGTGACTGTTGCTTGGTAACAGATATTGATGCTCACACTCTTGATCACTGGTTAGTGTGCTCATTATAAAAAATATATGAGCAGCTTTGTTGAAATAAGTTAAAATCAACTAAAAACTTTCTTATTTTTCCTTATCTTGACTCATGATTATTTACTTTCTCATCCTCTCTTCCGAACGGTCAAGTGGAAACTTGAATCCTTTCAATTCCCTTGAAGCGAACGTACAATCACTCACCCTTTATTACCTTCCCTGGTTTCCCGCCAAAACCTGGCACGTGACCTCCCATGCCTTGGTCCTCACTCTCTCCTCTATCGCCCTAGCGGACGGTTGGGCGGTCACTTCAGGGTCCTTTCGCGGCGTATAACTTAAAATGTTTTGGAATTATAACACAAATTCTGCCGTGAATGTGTTTATTAATATATTATTCATCATATTATTAACAAAATTTGTACATTTCATGTCAAATTAATTCACGTTTTACTCCGTTTTCAGGCGACTGTTTGCTTACATTTTGCAAGTGTAAACAGTGATTCAGCACGTCTCTACGCTTGAATTACACTCTGGTGTTCTTCTTGTCTGGTTTATGAGTTGAATATGTCTTGATGTTGATTATTCTGTATAATCATATGTGTATATATTGAATTTATGACCTTATATATTAATTGAATTGTGAAAATTTACTTGTAAATTTTTTCACATGTGATTGTGAATTTGATTTTGAGCAAGAGATTTTCTAATATTTCACAACCTGTTGGTACAGTTAACCAGACTGCGTGAGAAGGTGATACAGTCGTGAGAATTGTGAGTTGCTGTGACTACGGCTTGAGCTGTGCTGATATATGATGTCATCCCAGCCTAAGTCTGCGACGTCACCCGTACGGGAGAAAGTATCTCCACACACTGAAAGTAAAAGGAAGTCCCCTCCGGCAGAGAAGGCATCACAACATAAGAAGAGCAAGACGACTGCTTCAGGGAAGCAGTCATCATCATCCAGGCGCTCATCTAGATCGTCCCAATCTGGTAAATCGACGAGATTGGCGGTACATACGTCTATGCAGCGTCTATCAACAGATATTGATGTGCCTGGCGCTGAAGCAGATGGTTCCAGCTTCGGCAGTCCTCCAGTGTTGCTGCCAGAGATTTTCCTTTCTGCGTCGCAGAGATCTTCCAGTCCTGAGATACTGTCAGCGCAGATTAGAAGCATGACATCGCCGATGTCATCGTTGCAGTCTACCGAGAGCAGTGATGCAGATAGACTATCGAAAGTTACTCACTTTCACGCAAGCAGTCTAATGAAGCCGTTGCAGAACCAGAGACAGCAAAAGTCAGGAGGGAACCGTTAGCGTTTACGAACGCTAACCCGTCTACGAGGCCGACAGGCGAGACAGTTGCAGTAATCCCGCAGCAGCATCCGGTGGTCAACGCTGAAGACTGTGCTGATACAATCACCCGTAGAGTGATGCAGGCGATGGAGATGAGGCTAGACCCGGAGAAGAAGCAGAACAGGCTCTTCTTGAGAGCAGCGTTGCAGTAGGCGAGATGATGGCAGACAGGTCATTTACTACGTCGTCAGCAGTCAACGTAGACATCTCACATCGCGGCCTGGCAGATGTAGTACAGCATACTGAAGAAGATGATGCCATCTTCACTGAAGCTGAGGTACTGGCGTGGGTGACGGATGGTCTTCCGTTATCGTCCCCGGCTAGAGACGCTAATCCGGCGGAGACGTACTGTATGAAAGATGATGACTACGAATCAATTACTATCCCGCCAATGAAGCCCATTGCGCAGGGTTCAGACAACCTGAAAGCAGCCTTCGAGAAGGCCTCGAAGAAACGGGCAACATACTCCGCAGTTTAACCCTAAACGATTCCGACATCACAACATGAGTCAGTTCGACAAGGCGCCAGAAGTTGACGAAGATTTATATCTGGTCACTGACTCGAAGTCTCGCAGTTACAAGGTGGAAGATAAGAGAATGGCGCAACTTGATACGACAACCCGTAGAGCCTTCTACGGGTTAGCAAGATCTAGAGCCATCAACGAAGCATTGATGTACGCCTTCAAGAATCCTAAGACGGAAGAAGAAAAGATGATCAAGTCTACCTTAGTGGTCCAGCGCAAAGACCAGGAATTTATCTCCGATCACTTGGCTTCTACATCGGTGGGCATCACCCTTTTACGTCGACAAGGGCTGCTGAGTTCCAGTACGTGGCCAGATGTCTACACCAAGCCTTTACTAAGGAAGCCTTGGGCAGTGCCTACCCTGTTTGACGGCGGCATCCGGCAGTTGTCACGTGAAGTATCTCAAGACTCCAAAGACTTGATGTTGATCAAGTCCGTACAGACGATGAACACCAAGGTGCGTCAATCAACTCAGCGTAGTCAACTAAGATCCCGTTTCTCTGGTATTCAGAGAGCCAAAGAGAAGAAGTTTGCGACTTCACGTGGCGGCAACATGGGATCTTTTCGTCGTCCCAGTAACGTCAGAAGTTACTCAGGCCGAGGCAGGATCTCCAGCAGTGGCAGAGGATCCCGTTACTGAAGAGAAGGTTCGGAGCGACTGGTCGCTTCCACCCGCAGCCGTTCTGGTACAACCGTCATCCGTGGGTGGACGTCTGGGACTATACTGGGAAAATTGGAAAATACTACAGGACGATTACATCACAGATGTCTTACGAGAGGGCTACAGCATCCAGTTGCAGTCGACACCACCTTTGACAGATCAACCGTGGGTCTTCAAGTACCTGCAACTACAGCGAGACAAGCTCACCGAAGCTATCGAGATGTTGGTGGTAAAAGATGCAGTAGAGGTAGTCGATCAACGCGGACTGACGCCCGGGTATTATTCTCCAATTTTCCTGGTACCAAAGAAGAACTCACAAGAGAGGTTCCGTCTAATCTTCAATATGAAGAGCTTCAACAAGCATTACCTGTTGAAACCAGAGAAGTTCAAGATGTTACATCTGCCTCAGCTGAGACATCTTATCCGACCCAACGACTCATGGCCAGCATAGATCTGCAAGATGCCTATCTGCATATACCAATACATCCAGAATCATGGAAATACCTGAGATTCCTGTTCAATGGTCATCATTACCAATGGAAGTTACTGCCGTTTGGAATTTCGTCGGCCCTGTGGTTATTTATGCGAATAACCAAACCGATTCTCGTTTATCTCCATCAGAGGGGCGTACGAAGTGCCTTCTACCTAGAAGACGGCATCCAGGCACATCAAGATGCAGATCAACTCAAACTACAACTGCAGTTTATGATCAACCTATTGACACAGTTTGGCTGGCTGGTGAGTTGGAGCCGACCCAAGATCTACAATTCTTAGGCATCAGATTCCTGACGTCAGAAAATCGCATTCTGGTGCCAGACGACCCATGGCAGAGCATCCAGTCGTGCATACCAGACGCTCTCAACAATCCACTAGACTTGAGAACGTGGCAGCGAATCTTGGGTCTATTAACGTCGGCACAGGCTCTCACCCGTAGAGGAAGATTACAACTTTTGGAAGTCAGACACTGTCTTCGCTAACCACTACCTGAGAGACATCGCCACGGAAGATGTATCTGGTATACAGTGAAGCCCCGTTAGTCCGGACTCCGATAATCCGGATGTCTCGCCTCCCGGGCGATTTCAGCTTGTTACCAATCTATGCCTATATAATTTGCCTCGATAATCCGGAAATTCGGTTTCCGGAACCGGACGGTAAGTAGCTGTCACCAATCAGTAAAATAAACAGTAAATTGCTTCACAGTCCAGACGCTGTAAGTCGTGTTCACGAACCGTAACAACACCTCCCGGCGATGTTTACTTAATTAACTGGCCAACTGGGTTGTTGTTTTTAATTAGCCATTAAAAGCTCCCGACTGAAGATACTGTACATTTACACTTTGATTGACACCACAATACAAAGGCGTGGACGACAAGTGAGCTGTTTTGTGATTGGTTAATGTACTTTGACAGACAGATCCGGTCACGTGGACTAAAAGTGATTTTGCTTTACGACAATGCTGCAAGTCACAAGTGTGCTTCCCTAACTTTGCGAAATGTGACCAAATACCACGTCTCATATTCAACCGATGGATGCAGGAATAATTCGGTCATTCAAGGCATACTACAATGGATCGCTTGTTAGACATTACCTCACCTGTGCTGAGGGAGGACGTGATCAGACACGTCGCGATCGGATCAACATGCGGATGTCACTCGGTAAAATTATTGGTGTGATGAATTAAGCTTGACATTAAATGCTTATTTGTTTTATCCAGATTCGTGTCGTTTTTGTAATTCTTAGGGAAGCAACTTGGGTCTTGATGTCAGTAGTCCGGACTATTCACAATCCGGACGAATTTACTGAGAAACGCAACCGTCCGGATTAACGAGGCTTCACTGTACATCAATTCGGCCCTCTAGTCGTAGCGCAGCAACTCACTATGCCGGCCAGACGATGAAGAATCTCACCCTTGTCACGCAGACTCGTTGACGCCAGGCAACTGTTCCATTGCAATCGGCTAAGAGTCCATGTTCCCCTGTTTTACAAGATAAAACAGCGCATGAGTGATACATAGACTCAGTTATGGTAATGTTCTTGCCTTAACAGATGGGTTGCAATACCAGTTTCGGTAATGTTCTTACCGTAAACATATTGGATCGTTGCAGAATATCTAGACAACACAACGTCTAGTATACTAAATCCACAAAACAAATACGAATGTATAAGAAGGTGGTCCCCCAATTAACATCAAGATAATATTGAAGTTAGCCGCAGATGAAGAAAATTCCCAGGGGGTAAATCGAGTGAACGCTGACGTGAATACAATCGTGCAGGGAATCCCGTAGGTGGCTGACCCACCACCTCTCCGTCGGATTTAGAAAGCAAATAATCATGAGTCAGGATAAGGAAAAGTATGTAATTTTTATGATAAAATAAATATTTTATACTTATCCTGACTCATGAGATGAAACCCTCCCAACCGTCCCCTCTCATCACACGGGTTTCCCTGTAGACCTGAGTGGTGCATATTTCGGAGAGAGTGAGGACCAAGGCATGGGAGGTCACGTGCCAGGTTTTGGCGGGAAACCAGGGGAGGTAATAAAGGGTGAGTGATTGTACGTTTGCTTCAAGGGAATTGAAAGAATTCAAGTTTCCACTTGACCGTTCAGAAGAGAGGATGAGAAAGTAAATAATCATGAGTCAGGATAAGTATAAAATATTAATTTTATCATAAAAATTACATTATTTACAGATTTTCAAGGGTTAGCTCCGTACATATTTCTGTGAGGCACAAAAACAGCATCATAGAATCATATTGTTTGGTAATGTAAACTCTTCCAGCCGCAGTATTTGATGTTAAGATATTAAATCCCTTTCTTTGTTTCAGAAATTGTCAAATGATGTCAATAACCTGTTGGCAAATGGAATGGCTAACTTCGAAGTGGGACTAAAGTTTGCTTTTGAACAGTTTGAGAGTGTAAGTCATGAAACCATCTCCCTGGTGGTCATCAATTGTATTTACTGTCCTAATATTTAGACAGGGAGGGTAGCCCAGTAATTAAAGCGTCCGCTCGTTACACGGAAGTCCAGGGTTCGATTCCCCACATGGTTACAATGTGTGAAGCCAATTTCTGGTGTCCCCCACCTGATAATGCTGGAATATTGCTAAAAGTGACGTAAAACTAGACTCACTCACTGACTGGTATAACTGTCATCCATTTTTCCCACAATAACTAGCAAGGTGTCATGAATGTTTATAATCTGTAGCTGTGAATATGTTTGTGACAGTTTGAGGAAATGAGACGAGCATGGACCCTGATCAGCAAAATGGAGCTTCCTGTAACAAAGTGATCATGTTGTTGACGGACGGAGGAACAGACAACGCAGAGGAGGTCTTCAAGGAATACAACTGGCCGAATAAAACTGTGAGTACCACCATTTTTAATATCAGTGGTTACTGTCGTATAGTTTGTATGTTATTTGGAGTATAATCAATATGCTGTTTGGCTTTGTCACTCATACTCATACCTACTTGTCAGCCCGTATATTTTAGGGCATATTTGTGGTGATGTTAAAAGTACGTCCTCCCTGAGCATGGAATTGTGGTTCAATTCTCTGGCTACATCATACCACAGGAAGCCATGTTTAGAATCTTTTTTCATTGAAATCTATAGAATTTTGTGTTGGTGCTTTGTTCTCAGTATATGTTCAGAAAAGTTTTCAATATTAGTTCTGACACCAGTAAGAAGATTTGCTAAAGGTGGGGTAAAGTGTCATGGCGACCAATTTAAATAAGAGTTGTCTCCCTTAAAAATATGTTTCCTAGCTATAGTGTCATGTCAATCATATTTAATAAGAGTTATCTCCTCCAAAAATAATCCCCAGGCACTGTCATGCTGTCTTTTTTTCCCCCTGATGAATGTTCCATTGCAAGTTATATAAACCATTTCCTAAGAGAGTTATCTCCCTGCAGAAATGTTCCACAGACTAAATATGTTGCTGTTGGTTTGCAGGTGAGAGTCTTCACGTATGCTGTGGGTCCCACAGCCAACCCAACCAATGCCATAAGATGGATGGCATGTGCTAACAGAGGTGAGGAAAATGATTTGGTTTGATAATGATGATCAATATCTATACTACTCACACTTTGCTAAGGATCACATCACAAAAATTCACAATTTTACTTAAACGTAGATTTATAACTTGAAATTGTATCCATTTATAACTGGATAAATAATGATATGGTAACACATCTTGAGGAAAACAGCCACTTTAAGCTAACCGTACACACTTGATACAGGAGTAACCATAAAAATCGTTTTCATGGCACCAATCAACCATTTTGCAAATCATGGTACGGGTCATTGACAAGTACACAACACCTGTCAACAGCAGGTATGGGATCCACAAGATGCAATGACATACTGAAAACTTGGATCCATGCTTACAATATGCTTAGACATTTAAACCAAACTTGACCCCACATCATAGTTTTCTGTTGAATCAATGATTTGATCCTTAGCAAAGTGTGAATAGTATATTACTAAATGATATCTATTTTTTTTATATTTTGGTCATTATTCGAGGTGAACACATCATATAGCAATATTTAGAAAGCACTTTTACGAAATAATGTGAGATTTAGTTTTCTAGCCATGAGAACATGATTTTCATTAATAGAACGTAAGACTCATGGCAAAAATGTGAGAGTTGACAGGACAGAGTTTTAATTACATGTGTCATGCATAGAATTATTTGTCTGAGACACATGTTATCTGTTTCAGGCTACTTCTCCCAGATTCCTGCCATGGACGCCATTAGAACCAGAGTGCAGGTACGTCAGTCTACATTACTAGTGTGATAACATTGAAATGTTTCCTTGCAAAGTATGGGGATCATGAACATCATTAGTTAATCAATATCCTGAAATATTTCTGACAATTAACAAACAATTTGACTTTCAGGAACTGAGATGCTGATCTGTTTTTCTTGGTTAAAACCATTCTGATATAGGATTGTCACGTTTTAAGTGAATCTGTTTCAGAATTTAATGGTGCTATCAGTAACTGTATTTTTTTATATACTTGATTTTGATATGTTATTTAAGAATAAAGGAGACACATCATGGGTTCAAATCCAAGTTTGTGCAGATGTGTCTAGGTTTGTCTGCACCGCAACCATGCTCATAAGTTTTAAGAATGGTAAATATCTGAGATCTGAACCACATCTGGTTCTCCTGCTACATTTAGCTGACATGCCCTGAAATAACTGAAATACTAGCATCCACTCATCATGCTCAAGACCAAGGTTCGATTCCCCACACGGGTACAATGTGTGAAGCCTATTTCTGGTGTCCCCCGCTGTGATATTGCTGGAATATTGCTAAAAGCGGGGTAAAATCATACTCACCCACTCATTGAAATACAGCTCAAAGCAGCATTAAATTCAACTTGCTGTCTATCAGTGTATCCGTTTTCCGGTATATACCAGACTTTGAACCTGTACAAAGGTAATTTCAAAGGCTGTCGGTCATCGTGTCCAACAAATTTTAGAATCAACTTTCTAATTACCTCTGTCGATTTTATTTCTCCTAAAAAAAGATTACGTTTTCACAATGACAGTGAGGTGTTGTCAAATAAACAATAGCAGTTTTGGAAAAACCCAGGCTAAAAATAGCAGCATTGACACATTGCGATACCCTCTACATTTCTGATAGGTTGTTAGGGTGCAAGGTCTCATGCACAATGAAAAGCGTGATCACTTGACCTGTAATCTTTACAAATGACTGGTATTTGAAATGCTAGCCGGTCACAAAAATGCTAGCCAGCCGTAAAAATTGCCAGCGGAAACACTGTCTATAAGAAATGTTTTGACTTTGGCTTCCCAGTTCATACTTTTGAGTGTCATGTTTATTTGGCCTGGATTATTTAAGGAGTAGAAACGCACATTTCAAACCATGCTTCTCAAGACAATCTAGGCATGTATGTAACCAGCTGAGACATTATTTCAGGATTATGTGGAAGTTCTGGCTCGGCCTCTTGCTCTCAAATATGTCGAACACACCCAGTGGAGTAGCACCCACACAAACCCATTCTTCAACGCCAGCAATGCGGTAGTGTATACAATCACCCATCTGCACTGCTTCAATACTGCTTCTGGTACAGGGCTTCGGTTGAGAGCGATTCCAATTCCTTTGTTGGTCTTTTGGGGTTTATTCATGGTTGTGGAATGTCATCTTTGAAATAAAGTCGAAAACTGCATAAGAGCCAATGGTATTTGTATCCTCATATCGTTTTTGTATATCTGTTGTTTTCTCGAAATTGACTTTAAAGGCACTATATCACACCAGAATTTTCTGAAAAATAGATAATGCATTTCTTGCAAGTATAATAACTATCAGCCCACAGGAAAGCTACCATATAATTTATTCCCCCCAAAAATTACATATTTACATTACAATATCAAATTAGAAAGTTTGAATAAATTAATGCAACGTAGCATTAAATTGACTCTTGTGCCCTCTATCGGCCGAAGGGGCACTGGGGTAGCCTAGTGGTTAAAGCGTTCGCTAATCATGCTGAAAACCCGGGTTCGATTCCCCACATGGGTACGATGTGTGAGGCCCCTTTCTGGTGTCCCCCGCCTTGATATAGCTGGAATATTGCTAAAAGCGGTGTAAAACTAAATTCACTCACTCACTCACTACAAAGTGTGATGACTGATTTCATGGTGGCCTGCCACAATATGTTTGGAATATTGCTAAATCAGTATAAAACCAATCTCACTCACAGGAAGCATCAATGTTTGATGTGACTGTGAGTATGGAATATTTTATCATGGAGCTACTTGGGGACAAGATAATGTGAAATGTGGTGACCTGTGGCTGAAAATGTAATAGTCAATTTGTTATGGCCTAATGTGTTCAAATCGCATCAAATACTATTGGCTCCATCTTACAACATATCAGTATATATGGTTTATTTATTGTCTAATTTTATCTGAACTTTTTATAATTGTCCAAAGATATTTATTTCAGCATTTCAGCATTTCATGTATATTTAGGTTTTCAGTTTACAATGACTTTGTTTTCAACACAGTGTTTGCGCATGAGTGATCAGCCCACACATACTCTCCATGGTGTCTACTCAATAAGTTATGTTGTATTGAAGTTCCTTTTATTTTTGTTACTATAAAGTATAAAAATCATCAGATTTGAAGTGTTTTCTTACCAGCCTTGGTCAACATGGTCCTGTTTGAAACCAGGACAGATTCATCATGATTAAACCGGTTCGTTGTACTGTAGTAGTGGAATTGGATGGTGAGATTTGAAAACTGCCCTGTTTTTTTCTAAACTTGTGTATCATACATCCCAACTAAGCCAGACCTATATCTCCACTCCACACTGGAGCCTGCTTTCTCCCCACCCACATCTGCCCTTTATATCTCCCCAACCCTACTATATCTGCCCTAAAAACACTCCCATCTTCATTAAAATCAGCACCATATGTCTGACAACACACAAAAACAAGCCCTAAAATGTCCTTCCCTTTCAAAACATCCCTAAAACTTCTCACCAGACCGAAACATCTTTTAATCTCCCTACCCCCAAAACCAGCCCTAAATCTCCCATGCCTATCCAACAAGCACTAAATGTCCCCACCTGACCTAAACCAGCCCAAAATCTGCCCACCATACCAAACAAGCACTAAATCAAACCATCTTACCCAAACCAGCCCAAAATCTACCCACCCTACCCAAACCAGCCCAAAATCTCCCCACCCTACCCAAACAAGCACTAAATCGAACCATCTTGCCCAAACCACCCCGAAATCGAACCAACCTACCCAAACCAGCACATAATCTCCCCACCCTACCCAAACCAACCCAAAATCTTCCAACCCTATCCAAACAAGCCTTACCAACCTCCTGCCCAATCTCCCCACCCTATCATGTCATGTATTCTCCTGCCCATCAAACCAATATCTCACTCACACCTGTCCTCCCCACCTACATAAACATGCTCTCGACATCTCACAACCCTGTCTAAACCCCTTCCTATATACCTTGGCTCCATATCCCACACAAATTCAATCCCATATATTACCCCCATCCTCTCTCAATCCCAGCCATATCCATCTCACACATTTCCACTCAACCCTTCCATATACCTCACCATATCCCCAACACGAAAACTATTTAAGTCTTCCAATCCCACATCACTGTTATCAACACCCATTTTGAGAAAGCAATCTCTTTAAGTCTTCTCACATCACTGTTATCAAGGTGATCGTAACTCCCATACTTTAACATAGACATACGACATTCGTGGCTAAGGTGATCGTAAACTCCCATGCTTTAACATAGACATCGGTCGTGGCTAAGGTGATCGTAACTCCCATACTTTAACATAGACATACGACAGTCGTAGCGCTAAGGTGATCGTTAACTCCCATACTTTAACATAGACATACGACAGTCGTAGCGCTGAGGTGATCCTAACTCCCATACTTTAACATAGACATACGACAGTCGTAGCACTAAGGTGATCGTAACTCCCATATTTTAACATAGACATACGACAGTCGTAGCGCTATGATCGCTTTGTGAAATGGACCCCAGAACAGTGAACCCATAGATCCTACAGGCATTCACAAGAAGACACTGTCCCACCCCGCCATCCCAACACTCCCGAATCACCTGCCCTTAGCCCTCCAGTGATGTAGCTATGTGGTCTCCTTCAGAACTACACTAGAGCCTTAGTAGGACCCAAGGAGTATGTTCGCAGTCAGAACTTCAGCTGGGAGGTCACCCAGGACCCTCATGTATGGGTAACACGGACGATGCCTGTACATTGACAAGGATGGAAGAGCACTTTCACCCCGAAAATAACTCACCTCGGTTATGTAGATTATAAACTTCAGATTTAACATCGGTGGATTTTGAGTTTCGGTTTTACAAAGTTGAAAAATATATTTTTAGGAAAAAAAGATTTGGGGTGAAAAATTGTGAACATGAAATTGTGAATTTTTGTAATTTTGGGGAATTGTGGCTCAGATTTGTGGCTTTATTTTCCTCAGCAGTGAGTATGAAGCTTATTCCAAATGTGATCGTTTAACCATGATAGTCAGAATTTTTGTACATTAACTCAGGCTTATGTTAGGCTTAGTGGTAAGATATGTTTTGTGAAATGTTGCCCTTTTCACACCTGTGGCAGATGTTTCTAAAATTTCGTACTGTTTGGGTGAAGTATGTGTGATTCCACTCTTGTCATGGTTTGTTGGTGTCTCCAGCATAGCATGGAATTGTTGGTTACTATGGTAACATGATTGAAACCCTAACCCTCTAATTTCTAACCATTACACTTTTCAGATGCATTTTTTGAGGTGTTTGACAACCACAGTGTGAAAATAATCAGAACATTTGGAAAGAATGCATTTTTATTCCTTGTCTTATTTTCAACCTTGGAATGGCATTTTGACCATGCTGAGAGAATTGGTGTTGAAAATATCCTTATATGAACATGTGCATTGTGTTGGGAGACTTCAGGGCATAAAAGATATAGAAACCAATTTGATAAAAATTCTAATGACAAATAAAATTTACTAAATTAAATTTAGTTAAAAATTCTTTCCTTCACAGACATACGATTTTTGGCTTCTAATCTGATAAGAATTAAAATGAAATAGTTCCATGGCTTCCAATTATTGTTGACAAGACCAAGAAGTGAGCTGAATTTGGGTCCTGGTATTCTTGGATTCAGAAGAATGTCCTCAGCTTGTGTGTTCAAATCATGTTAAAAGCATTGAAAGTAAATGTTCAGATTGGTAACAATGTCAAGTTCTTAAATGTCAGAGAATTTAAAATCTTAATCAGCATTAAAAATTCATTTGCGATTTGAAAGTTTCTTTGCTGATATTTGGCATGAGACTGAGGAAGATGTTTTCTGTGTATGACATAAATGTAATCTGATGAGACTGACTCTACCATGTTTACTCCGTGTGATTGACATAACATCATGTCGAACTGAATCAAGATGCTTCTGTAATATAACATTACTTCATCTGATGAGCTGGAAGAGAGAATAATCTGTAAAGATTTGAAAATTCTGATTAGTTTAAATTTTAAATTTTTAAATCAAAGTGGGTATTTATTTTTACTTTTCCTGTTCTGAATCATCAAATGATTTGTAAAATGTCTTCATTGGCGAAAAACATTGGATGACGTAATTATGGATGATTCTTAATTCCAGGAATTTATAAAATTTGTTTTAAGCTGATCAGGTAATAAGCATCATTACAGAAGCACTCTGATTGATTCTGTTTGAATATAAACCATATTTTTCTTGTTAATGGTCTTTGATTATAATGAATATTACATGTTTGTTTGACTAGATTAGACGGTGATGGGTGAAACGTAGTGCAATACATTAACAATTTAAAAATCTTGGTTCGTTGCCATGGTATTTGAATCTTGGGACCTCTGAAATCTTTAGCATGTAACATTAGAACTATGAAAAGGAATCTATGACTTCCAGATGCTGAATGTGATCACAATACAGTTTGTACCAAATACTTTAAAGTCTTCTGACCCAAACTCGGAAAACCTGGTTTCGTTTCCCACATGGGTACAATGTGAGGAGCCCATTTCTGCTGTTCCCTGCTGTGATGTTGCTGGAATATTGCCAAAAGCAGCGTAAAACCGTACTCGCTCACTCTAACCTGAACTGTTATTTTGGCACAATTTCAGTTGATTTTAGCCTCAATATAAAGTCCCTCAGAAGTTGATACAGCTTAACAAGAAGACATTTTACATGACTCACATTTCGGATCAGTTGTTAAAATCGCAGATTGCACAAGTATTGCATAGTGTTTCATGTGTGTGCCTGGTTTCTCTGCTTGATGCTGATTGGTGCATTTGCTTCCTTGAAGGAATACATACCCGTTCTGAGTCGACCACAGGTGCTGCAGAACGTCAAACGCTTTGTGTGGGGTAGCATTTACTACGATTATCTGGTACTGACCATTATTGCCTCTAATCATCAGTGTTGTTTAGTCTTTATGTGTGACACACCACAGCCATGCGAACATCAGTGCAACAGTAAACAGCTGTCATTCATTGTCTCTGTAACAAAGATAAAAAGTGCTTTCAATACCCAAAATTGATTTTTGTAAGCAGTAGTTTTAAGATCAAAATCAAAAATTTTAATTGTAAATTTAATTTAAATGTTTATCTGAAGAGTTTACTGTTACAAACAAGGCTATGGTGTGATGTAAGTGTAGAAGTCATTGTCAGTTTGTAGGCTGTAGTTAACTTGTCATGGAATATCCTAGTTGTAGAATGTTAGAAACACACTAACACCTTTGCTTCTGTGACTGATGGATATATTATGTCTGAATGTAATCTTCAGATTGATAAGTTTTGTAGTTCACGAAGAATTCAGACATATTTTAAAAAGTGTCATAGCGTGAGCTGTTTTTAGCGGAACAAAGTCCCGTTGTTCAGTTACTGGAGATGCTTGAAAAGGATCCTCCATTTTCTCACTCTGTTGATTGATTCAAGCATAATGTATTTGATCTACACAATATTTGCTGCCATGTATTCGGACATACCTGCAGTGAGATCAAATGGAATGTTTCTCATACATGTATTGCTCAGATCCAGATATAAAGATTTAGTGTGGTATTCTTGGAACATGTTCAACGGTGATAATAGTCCGAAAAACATGTCAGGAAAGGCTCCACAAGTTGTTTTGTTTTCATTATATGGGTCACACTTTTTATTATTTGCTTTACGGAAACTATCTGTCCGTTGGTGAAAAACAATCAAAGATGAACTTCTTGTTTGCAAAATATTTTTCTTTGAAATATCTGGTTTTCAAGTTGAAAAACATGTAGATGGGAAAAGGGAATTAGAGTAACCTCCCTTCTGTCATTGAATAATGTATGCAATAGTTTATCATCTGAGAAGTTTCTGCCATAGTGGAGACTCTCAGTGATGTTTATATAGGATTGCTAGTTGAAAAATCCTCACAAAGACAGAGCTTCTTTACGTTTGTTTCTTCTTTAAACATTTATGCATGTTTGTTGATAGAGGGTACTTCTTTTGGAGGCGGGGCGGTGGGGAAGCCTAATGGTTAAAGCGTTGGCTCGTCACGCCGATGACCCGGGTTCGAATCCCCACATGGGCACAATGTGTGAAGCCCCCTGCTGTGATGTTGCTAGAATATTGCTAAAAGCTGCGTAAAAACCAAGCTCAGTCAGTCAGTCAATCTTTTGGAGGTTTGGTTTGTTTGTTGCAGAAAATCAGCAGTAAATATGGAGTAAACTCAGATTATTTTTGTTTCACTATTTCAACAAAATTTGCAGTTAGTAGTTCTATAAAGCAAGAGGGGTAAAAAGTGTGGCTAAAATATTAATAATAACCCTGCATTTGTGAAGTCTGAATAGATTACTAACTGTATGTGTAGATTGTTATAGTAGATGCTTCATGTACACTTGTATTGTCGATATGTATGTGAATATAGATATGTAGATGTATTGTTGAACACTATATCACCTGTATGTTCCGATCTCTCCACATTCAGCTCCTGAAACAGACAGCAATTTGATAAAAGAATATTCAATTATTCTCAAATGGATTTGTGTCATGAATATAAAAATGACAAATGTTTTTTTCAAAAATGCGTTTTGAATGTAATCATATTAAATTTAAATTGTGTTCAGCAAGAAACTTCTACACTCGATATGGTACCAAGTGATTGTCTTCATCTAGTCTGATGTGTCTTTGTGGAACTGCAACCTGCTCCTGTTACTGCGTAAATTCTCATTGGAATCTCATCTTTTGCTGTGATGAAATACCTCCCTGCTTGAAGATCGAACAACGCTTCCATTCAATATAGACAAACTGTATGGATAACAACTTCCTTTGTCAAGCAACGGGACAATAATCTGTATCGAAACGTCAAGCAAAGGTGCAAGAATCTCACTCATGAAATAGAGTAGTTGTTATCGATACAGTTTGTCTATATTGTACTTCCCAGCTTCTAAAATGCCACTCAAAAAAGACTTCCGTTCAAAGTAATGTCTGGGGAACTCCTTGCAGACTTTGACTGTCCAGAATATAAGAGTTATTTGTTGGTTCTCGAGCCAACAGAAAATCAATAAAAAATGTAAAATTCAAATCTAAAAACACCAACAATTATGATTATGAAAGAAAACCACTGCAAAAGACAAACATTCTTTGAAAGTATTCACCTTTTGCTTAAGATACCAAAAGAAGCCTGAAAATGGTGGATAAAATATCTACAATATATTGGCCTCTCTTTCATTATTTACATTTGGAACTGGTTGTTTAACCTCATTTTAAACATACAGATGTGCCACTGTGAATATTTTGCTCAATTAGACTAAAAATTTAGAAGTCTTGATGGTGATTGGCTGAATAGAAACTTCATCAGGTGCAGTCTATGGATGGGTTGTGAGTTCTCTCTCAGAGAGGCACCACATCAGAGGAAATGATCTGAAATGAATGAGGGTGTCATTGTGTATCTGTAGAACTGCTTCCAGGAACATCCCTAAGAAGCATCAATATTGGTTCTCAGACACAAAATTCAGAAATAGAATAGATATATCTTGTTTTCCTGGTTGTATTTAATTTAAATTAAATTGAATTAAATGAAATTAAATTAGATTTTTTATCATTAATGGAAATCTGAGTGTGTGTTTAAGAACCAATTCTCATCCTTGTTTAATGTAGATGAGTTAAACCTGTATAGTTGTTCCTATAGTACGTGTTTAATGCTGTTATCCTTGTATGTTCCTTCTGAAAATATACACATGGAACTAAGTTTGTTATTTGCGGTTTCAGATGTTGAAAGTTTCATTTTTCATGTGTATTTTTTCAGGAAGAACAATCAATAAGCTTCAGATACTGTTTTACAGTGCTTTTTTCATACATAGATGCTTGTATGTTTACTAAGTGCATATCATGTTCTTGAAGCATTCCGAAATACAATGTCATTTTGTAATAATCAACAAGGGTTTGAGTTGTGATCTTGAGATCGGGCCTCTTGTCACAATTTAGATGTGATTCAGGGCAAATATGTTCGCATGACAAAGGCATACATCTTGTCAATATCGTATGCTTGAATAGGTATTTTATCAAAAGTGTTTGCTCAATATTTACATGAAAGAAAGTGTATCGAATAATTGGCTCAAGGTTTGGCTTAGCAAATGATGTGTGAAGATCTATCAGATATAGAAGTAGCCAGATGAACATGTAGCTAGATGGAATAGGAGCCTTTTAGTATTGCTATTGCTCAGCCATGATGACTAGACAAATATTAAAGATGCTTGAAATATTAGATAAAGGAAGTTGATATGATCAGCACCAGTTCATTATTAGAAGTATTGGATGTGGTATAATTTGATCATGAGACAGTTATCACAAGACTGGTGACATAGAATGTGAAATCGCTATGGCTCACCTGTTTGTCACAAATTGTTTGGTCTAAAATTTGATACCACATACCGGGATATATGAATAATTTCAGATTTACCTGAGGCATTTAAAGTCATAGGGAAATGACAATTCTGAACATTGGAACGTCTGTATATGTTTAGAAAAATCGTATTAATTTTGAGTACTGGTGTATAGAGCGTGTGATGAATATTTTCAAATAATCCCTAACAACAAGTCTTGAGTGTCCTCAGCCTAATACATACTGCATTGGCAGCATAAAAATATTTGTATGTTAATTCATAAAGACAGTTCATTAATATTTAACTCAATGGTGAAGGTTTTGCTCTATGATTAATTGCTGCTTCTTACGTTTTGCATGATCTGCATTTAACATCTCAAGATCATCTGTGCATGTTCTCTGTCATTTTTCGTTATGCATGAAATTGTGCACATATTGAAATGACTTTTTTACAGACCTGTTTAATGAAAGCCAGTTAATGCTAATTCTAAATGGAAGCATATTTAATGATAATCATGAAGATAATTATGTAGCACTAGTTCCGCATCACTGAGGGACATGCTCAAAGCACATCGTAGCATATATTCAGAAGACAGACAACAGTAAAGAGAATTAGTGGTAGCATCAGAAGAGGTAGGTTTTTAGATTTAAACACAGATAGCATAGGTGCACTCTTGAGGTTAAATGGGAGAGAGTTCCACTGTGAAGCCAGCAGTTGCATATTTCAACAATGTAATACCATTTGAAGTGTATTTTTCTGTCCAATACTGTAATGCCATTTGAAGTCTAATTTTCTGTACAATATTGTAATAGTAAATATGAAGTATGTGGGTGATGATGATGATGATGATGATGATGATGATGATGATGATGATGATGATGATGATTTCAGGGTCTTGGAATGATGACAACAGTTACTCTGCCGGTGTACAACAGAACAGCTGGATCTGTGAGTGGTGCTGGTCACATTGTAAAAGACCAATTTAATCACCTGTCTATGCCTGTCTCTCTTTAGCCAATTAAATAGCACAAGCAGTTACTGAATGGGAAATAATCATATCTAGCAGTTCTAAAAGGTCTAAAGCTAAAACTTAAGTTTTACAATTTTTGGTCCTCACTCAACAAAGATTACACCAGAAATTTAAAAGATAGAATTTTCCCATTATTATTCCTCGTTAGTTTAATAGTGCAGTATTGATTTTGGTACTTTTATTATTTACAAAGGAACTATTATTTATTTTTCTCTAAGAAATAAGAGTTACATCTCTTTGTGAGTCAAATGCTCAGCAAGGTTTCTGGGACAGTGGGGTAGCCTAATGGTAAAAGCGTCCGCTCGTCACGCTGAAGTCCAGGGTTCGAATCCTCACATGGATACAATGCGTGAAGCCCATTTCTGGTGTCCTTCGCCGTGATATTGCTAGAATATAGCTAAAACCTGTGTAAAACCGTACTTACTCTCTCACTATGACAGTTTCTTCTGAACATGGTGAGCATATATTGCACTTTACAAGTGGATTGTTATGTGATATAGGATTAAAAGGTTACTGTATAGCAGTTTTCACATCATCCTTCAGCCTTCAGACTGATTGGGGAATCTTGGGTTGAAATGGGAGTGTTTGATATTGGACGTGATCCAAAAACTGAAACAGAATAAACTGTAAATTTGTACAAAAGTAAAACAAATGCTTCTGGCAATATATTCAGGCATTTTATGGCAGCAAAATATGTATGCCCTGACTGGAAAGTGATTACATGGGTAAGAGGGTGTAGGTTTGACAAATAGCATCCTTAGCTGTATGAGTTTGAATGGTTACATTGTGCTGCTATAAGGGTAATGCTATTTTTGAGGGCATTATCATTTGCAGAAGCCTGGGGTCTTCCATTAACTGCTCGACGAGGGAGGGCAGTTGAAAAAGACAGAGGGCTTCTGCGTATGATAATGCCCTCAAAATTAGCATTACCGTTATTGTTGCTAAAATACATGGAATTTGTGTTGAAAAGAAAAAGGAAACAATGAAGGAATTTGACTGTAAGTTTACCCAAATCAACTTCTGACGGGGTGACTGCCCGAATGCAATAACGTCATCGAACAATTCAAGTGACGTCACAACAGAAAGTGACGATATTCGACCTTGGCCTTTGACAAGACCATAGCCTGCAACATGTGAAACTATGTCTGTGTTCCCGTTTTGGTCCATCAACAGCCTTAATAGTGCATTTGTTAAGGTTAGCACCGACAAGAAAGCCAATATTACCGCTATTTAAAGCGGGAATTCGGGTTGCTTTGACTTGTTTGACCCAGAATATCTGCCAGTCGAAAGTCAATTAATGTCGAATGAACCGTAAGCCCACGCACCCACTATGACGTCACTTGACAACAGAAGTGATAGTGGCCCGTGGTTAAGGTTGAGCGGTCCAATATCATTTGCAGCGGCCCGCAAATTTCTGATAATGGGAGGGCCGTTTCATGATAATTCAATGTATTTTAGCTATAAAGTCTGATCATTGATTGTTTCAGTCGAACCAGACAATCCTTGGAGTGATGGGTATTGACGTTACCACGGCTGATATGGTGAAGAAAAGTCCCACAGAAAAGGTAGGAATATGAACAAGTCATGTCAGTATATCACTGAACTTCATAGAAATGTCAAACTACAAATTAATTTGTTTATATTATTTATCCAAATCTGCATATGATACAACCTTTTGAATTGTTCTGTACCTTCATATTTCAGCTCGGACATACCGGCTACTCTTTTGCAATCAACCCAAATGGTTATATCATCTTTCACCCCCTTCTGAAACCAACAGTAAGTGTCTTTGATAAGTAGAGTTCTTGCTGATCATCTGTATTGATTCGGTATTTATGATTCTTTTAGGTACTCTTTATTAAGTGAACAAAATAGACTGTTGATAGATAGTTCTTACACGTCTAAAGATTCTGCTTACATATGTCAAGTAAAAATGATTTCAGATTCTCATGGGCAAGTGGAAATGATTTTAGATTCTGATGGGTCAATGGAAATGATTTAGAATCTGCTCAGTCATGCAAAAATTATATGGATTCTGATATGTCGGAAAAAATGATTTTAGGTTAGGTGAGGTGAAATTGGGTTTAACGTCGTGCTTGAAAATATTTCGCTCATATGACGACATGCATGCGTGTGTATGTGTATGTGCGGCTGCTTGTACTAGCCCAGACTGAAGCTAGTTTTATAGTGCTAGCCCACTGAGATACCATGCCGCAGTGAAGCATTAATACCCTACTCAGACACAGTATACTGACTCCGAGCCTGATTAATTCAGTCCTTGTTGTACCCATTAATGCAGGGCGAGGCGGCTACCAATGATTTTAGATTCTGATGGGCAAGTGGAATTGATTATAGATTCTGATGGGCAAGTGGACATGATTTTAGATTCTGATGGGCAAGTGGACATGATTTTAGATTCTGATAGGCAAGTGGAAATGATTTTAGATTTTGATGGGCATTTTTTAGATTCTGATGGGCAAGTGGAAATGATTTTAGATTCTGATGGGCAAGTGGAAATGATTTTAGATTCTGATGGGCAAGTGGAAATGATTTTAGATTCTGATGGGCAAGTGGAAATGATTTTAGATTCTGATAGGCAAGTGGAAATGATTTTAGATTCTGATGGGCAAGTGGAAATGATTTTAAGATTTTAGATTCTGATGGGCAAGTGGAAATGATTTTAGATTCTGATGGGCAAGTGGAAATGATTTTAGATTCTGATGGGCAAGTGGAAATGATTTTAGATTCTGATGGGCAAGTGGAAATGATTTTAGATTCTGATGGGCAAGTGGAAATGATTTTAGATTCTGATGGGCAAGTGGAAATGATTTTAGATTCTGATAGGCAAGTGGAAATGATTTTAGATTTTGATGGGCAAGTGGAAATGATTTTAGATTCTGATGGGCAAGTGGAAATGATTTTAGATTCTGATGGGCAAGTGGAAATGATTTTAGATTCTGATGGGCAAGTGGAAATGATTTTAGATTCTGATGGGCAAGTGGAAATGATTTTAGATTCTGATGGGCAAGTGGAAATGATTTTAGATTCTGATGGGCAAGTGGAAATGATTTTAGATTTTGATGGGCAAGTGGAAATGATTTTAGATTCTGATAGGCAAGGGGAAATGATTTTAGATTCTGATGGGCAAGTGGAAATGATTTTAGATTTTGAATGATTTTAGATTCTGATGGGATTCAAGGCAAGGAAATGATTTTAGATTCTGATGGACAAGTGGAAATGATTTTAGATTTTGATAGGCAAGTGGAAATGATTTTAGATTCTGATGGGCAAGTGGAAATGATTTTAGATTTTGATGGGCAAGTGGAAATGATTTTAGATTCTGATGGGCAAGTGGATTTTTAGATTTTGATGGACAAGTGGAAATGATTTTAGATTCTGATAGGCAAGTGGAAATGATTTTAGATTTTGATGGGCAAGTGGAAATGATTTTACATTCTGATGGGCAAGTGGAAATGATTTTAGAATCTAAGGGGCAAGTGGAAATGATTTTAGATTTTGATGGGCAAGTGGAAATGATGTTAGGTTCTGATTAGTCATGCAAAAATGATATGGATTCTAATATGTCTACAAAAAACAAATGATTGTAGATTATTATAGTCCAGGCCTGGAAACTACAACAGAGTGGCTTGTGGGATGGGATTTATCAGAAAGTAAACACATTTCTACATATCCCACAGAGACAATATTCCAAGTGCTTAACAGTAAATAGTTACATATAATGAAGGTCAGGAAATCTGGATAAGTCAGTTGTGGGATAGTGTGGGATCTTTGTAGCCTTATTTCCTCGTCAGAGACTTAGATATACCCGTGAGATATCCAAAGAAATATATCTTTCAGCGTTGAATTTTTATTAAATCTACCTATTGACATGATATTTTTATTTTATTTGCAGAAATACATGCGGGACCCACCAAATGTTGATCTTTTAGAGATAGAAATAGAAAATGAGAAGAAAAATGAGGTAAATTATTATCATGTTCTGTATTAAAAGTATACTTTCTGAATAAGCTTGCAGACGACAAATGGAATATATTATCTGTTTGAGATATCGAGTCTGGAGACAAATATAACATACTGAATCGGAAATATTTTCAGTTTCTGAAACAAATATTACACAATGACTGTATATTGTTATTGTGGCAGTTACATATTATATTTTATGTGATTTCTGTTACAGCTTCGGACCAATATGATTAAAGCACAGAATGGAAGCATGGAGATTGAAACATTTGTGTTGTCATCCGATATGGTTAGTATGATCTCAGTGTTTTACCAGGATACCAACCCGTGAAGATTCGGGTTAGAATTGTTGTTCAGCAACCCATGCTTGTCGTAAGAGTGAGTGAGTTAATTTTTACGCCGCACTCAGCAATATTCCAGCTATATGATGGCGGTCTTGTAAATAATCGAGTCTGGACCAGAAAATCCAGTGATCAACAGCATGAGCATCGATCTGCGCAATTGGGAACTGATGACATGTGTCAACCAAGTCAGCGAGCCTGACCACCCGATCTCATTAGTCGCCTCTTACGACAAGCATGGGTTACTGAAGGCTCATTCTTAACCCGGACCTTCACGGTTTGCTTGTCGTAAGACGAGTTGCTTGTCGTAAGAGACAACTAATGGAATCAGATAGTCAGACTCGCTCACTTGGTTGACACATATCATTGTATCACAGTTGTGTAAATTGATGCTCATGATGTTGATCACTGGATTGTCTGGTCCAGACTCAGTTATTACAGACCACCATGATATAGATGGAATATTGTGCGGCATTATACAACAAACCAGCCAACTTCATTATTATCCCACAAACTAGCAGTTTGGCATCTTATTTAAATGCATGTTATCATACTGTGATATATTTTTTTCAGAAATATGTACATTTGGATAAAGTGAGGTATTCTTACACACCAATTGAGGGCACCTCTTTCAGGTATGTAGGCAAGACATCTTGAAGTAACAATCTTTTTTCCCTAAAAATTTAACACCTGTGCCAGAATGGCTATAGATTGTATTTTACTGACGTGAAACAAATTTGTTTATAATATTTTCACAGAAACTCTACTCAGCAGCAAAAAAAACGTCAGTACGAATTCAAAATTAGATAGGCACTGTAATCAAATCATTACAGAAGTGGACATAATAAGCAGATCAAAAACATTTTTTGTGTACAATATCTTGACACATCAATGAATAAAAGTTTTCAAGACATTATGTGAACGTTTGCAGTCCATTCAGACTCTTGAATTCAGTATCTAGTGTTACCACCACGAGCGGCAATAACTGCAGCACAGCGTCTATGCATGGAGTGCACCAATCGATTGATGAAGGCCATTGGCACGTGGAACCACACTCTGAGAAAGGCCTGGCACAGTAAATCGGCTGTGTTCGGCCTTGGTATGACATGATTCAGTCACCTCTGAATTTCATCCGAAAGATGTTTAACTGGGTTTAAATCAGGACTAAGGGCTGGCCACTGCATAACGTTGACACTGTTCTGCTGTAGGAAGTCCCGTGTAGCTCTGGCAGTATGGGCCCGGGCGTTATCATGCTGGAAAATGTTGTTCCGGTGACGTGCGAAATGTGGTATGATGTGGGGTCTGAGAGCTTGGTCGATGTAGCGCACCGCTGTGATGCTGCCTCCTCTCCCTAGACCAAGGTTCGGGCCTATTCCACCCCATACCATGATGCTTGCACCTCCCCATGAGTCTCTTTCCATAACAAATTGGTCTGAGTAACGCTGGCCACATCGTCGCCATATTCTTGTTCTGCCATCTGCAGTTGATGCGCAGTACTGACACTCATCTGTGAACAGAACAGTTCTCCATTGTCTGTATCGCCAGTTTTGGTGTTGTAGGGCAAACTGTAGCTGTTCACGGGGTGAGCAGTGACAGAAATTAACCTAATATTCAGACTTGCCCTTCGGGCCAGTAGACATAAAAACTTACTGGCCCAAGCTGTTTTCTACTGGCCCAGTAAAAACAAACCCTGATGAAGAAAAAACTCCTTTTATATTAACCAACTGTAGTAAGGCAAAACATTTAAATGACTATGGTGAGGTTTTTTATCAGTTGTAGGTAATAGAAACTACAAATCTTTATGGATGATCACCTTTAGTTTATTGTACAATACACCATGAGGCATCTTAGAGCATTTGAAAGAACCTGCAGTGTCTTCTCTGCTTGAGAAGTGCCGGGCTTGGCTTTCGCTGCTTGTAATTTTTCATTGTTGATTTTGTGGCCCATTGACTTCTCGTGTAATTTCAGCGATTCTACTTTGAATGTCGAACAGCCAGTTATGAGTGTCCCCTTTCCTTCCGGATCATATTTGCAGCATGTAGAGCAATACATTTTCCAAAATGATCCTCTAATGATTTCAACTTTTTGACAGGTGGCTGAACGTTGTCAATAAATCGCCACATACTACTGGCATTACAAGTCATGTGCAGTCGCTTACTTCCTAAAGTATGAACTTCCGGATAACTGTGTTTACAAACGAAACGCAAGTCGGTAACGAGGGCATGTGTAGCAGGCCATATTAAAAGAGAAACGTGTCAATTTTACTGACATACGATCAGGACAAAGATTATACTTAAATTACTTTAGATTATTCAGGTAATATGATTTGACTAGAAGGGGGATACGGACGGAAGTCTTTCCATCTTTATAATGAGTCATGACACATACCCTTGTCACCCACCGGGCGACCAGTGGCATGGATTTAATCTGCCCACACAAACTTCTACTCGCCTCGGGCCTTGGGGCGAGCGTTAATTTCTATCACTGGGTGAGGATAGGTCCATGGTAAGGTCTACGGCAATGGAGGTTCCTGCTGTTAAGACGTCGGCATACTGTATCAGTACTGATTGGTCTTCCGTGTGTTCCCACTGTCTGGCGTGCTGTTTCGGATGCCTGCCTGAAGGGATTCTGTACATGCTGTCGCACAACATTGCGGTCTTGTCATCTTGTGGTCAGCCTTGGTCTGCCAGTACGGGGGCGATCATTTGTGGTGTACTTCCAGCATAGTGGCTCAGAAACGTTGCTGCAGCCGGTAGATGGTCCGAACGTTGCCCTGGAAGTGATTGGCAATGGCTTGTACAGTGTGGCCAGCTTCAAGTCTTCCTAGCAGCTGGTTCCTCGGTGCTGTCGTGAGTCGCGGCATCCTGCTGACGTTGCAATGTGAATGTTTCAACAAGGTTTGGGGGTGCATTTTATAGGGCTGGTCCTTGTGAACAGCACGTGCAGCATGAGTTGCATGAAAAACATGGAGAACACCGTACCATCTCCGAGATCAGGTTGCGTTTTTGAGAACATTTCCTGGGTTCCATTCTGAGTTTGGGAAGTAATGTCCTTGCTCAGGTAAAGTTGGATATGTTGTCCAAAATATACAATCGAAACATTAAATGAGTTTACAGTTATCCGTTTCTGCGAAGGAAAATTAAAAACTGACATTTCTTTTGCTGCTTAGTATATTTTAAATGGGTATTATATTTTTATTTGCTAATTTTTATGAAAATCGTGAATACAAAGAATATGGAAAAGAAAATCTCAGAATGCAAAATCAGATTGGTCTGTCCAGATTATGTCTAATAAAGACATTTGAATTAACTGTCTAAAAAGAATGAAGCCATATGATTTTGTATATTTCTTACTAAACATGATCTGTTTCAGTCTTGGTGTGAGTTTGCCATCTTACCAAACGTATTACCCAGAATTCAATGCAAACATCGGACAATTTGGTGAGTGGACAACAACGTTTTTCTTACTTGAAAATGGGTGGTGGTGTAGCCTAGTGGTTAAAATGTTTGCTCGTCACGCCAAAGTCCCGGGGTTCTATTATTCCCCACTTGGGTACAATGGGTGAAGTCTATTTCTGATGTTCCCTGCCGTGGTATTGCTGGTTGTTGCTAAAAGCGACATAAGACTGAAACTCACTCACTCACTCATGTCTGTGGTGGATACACAGTCTTGTTAATTGACGGGATGACAAAATATGTGCCATTGATAGAATTAGGTCTAGTCTGAGGGTACCATTGCAAGTAAAACTAATCATATAAAGATGACAGGGAAAAGGACTTCTGTTGAAAATCTGAATTTTTAATTTTAGTGGGAGTATTTTTAGAATAAAAACAAGGATAAGTATTGTCCAATAACTATAGATAAAACATGTTTTTAAAAAGTATTCATTTGAGTGTGTGTGTAAATTGTGGCACAATGGATGTACCTACTGACATGAACTTTGTGGCTTTGTAATGTTCATATATGTGTAATTGTTTTTATCCTCTTTATATATACCCCCGCTTACAAAGTAATGGGTGTATATCGCGATCATTCAGTCCTTCCATCCTTCCATCTCAAAACTTTGTCCGGAGCATATCTCTTAAAGTTGACATGCTAGGTTCACCAAACTTTACACACATGTTAATCATTACCCATAGATGTGCCTTTTCCTATTTTGAAGTTTGTCAGTGTTTTATTGTTTGCTGTTTCCATAGAAACAACTTGGTGCAAAATGTGTTTGATGGTTATCTTGTCCAGAGCATAGCACTGAAACTGATACTAGGGTCACCAAACTTAACACACAAGTTAATTATGACCCATAGATGTGCCTTGTGATTATTTCCATAAATTATTTAGGTAATCAGTAAATGATAAAACTATTGTCTAACATGTATATAAAGTTTAGTAGAGTCAAAGAGAAAGTCTTGTGAGCTGCTGATCCTTGTCACATTATATATATCAATATCAGTCATTTCCATGTCCCACAGTGGGAAGCAGGGCTATGTGAGCTGTGTTCTACTACACTTAATTTGTTTCTCCATTGTATTTTCCTTTTCCCTACTTGTTAATAATTTTAATCACATTCAATATTTCATTTCATCATTTCAGATAAATCCATGTTGCAGTCTGAAAATTGGGCTATGCTTATAGCACCATGGTAAGAAAATAAGTCACTTAAGCTCTTTGTGGAAGCAACCTGTGAAGATGCAGGTTAGAATTGGTCTTCAGTAACCCATGGATGAAGTAAGAGGAGACTAACTGAATCGGGTGGTTGGCTCGCTGACTTGTTAGACACATGTTATCGTATCCCAATTGCGCAGATCAATGTTCATGCTGTTGATCACTGGATTGTCTGGTCCAGACTCGATTATTTACAGATTGCTGCTATATAGCGCTGAGAGCGTCCTTAAACAATAAACTAACAAATCTTGTAGAAGTCATGGAGCCTTGTCTAGACATGGCAGACATTGAGAGAAAGTATGAGCCATACTTCATACAACAGTGTTACCATGACATACTCAGCTAAATCACAGCACTTTGAAAAATGTTTGGCGAGTGACAAAACAACAAGCAAACATTTTGGTATCCAAGAAATTACGTACCATGAATATATTGTTATAAGTAGATTAAACATAAAATTTTCTCTTCAAAGAAATAACAAAAGTAGAATCCATTTTCAGGAACGGTCTGTGAGTTTTGTTTCCAACTGGTATTTCTTATTCAGGGACTACTATGATGCTATGAGCAAAAGCAATCGTTCAGGGACGACTGAAGACATCATTGATATGCTGAAAAATACTGGCGTAAAGTGTGAGTAATATTGTTGAATTAAGGTTAGTCAGAGCTGTGTGGTATCTGAGTAATTTGTACTTAGGAGGTGAGGTGAGGTGAAATTGGGTTTTACGTCGTACTTGAGAATATTTCGCTCATATGATGACGTGCATGCGTGTGTATGTGTATGTGCGGCTGCTTGTACTAGCCCAGACTTAAGCTGGTTTTATAGTGCTAGCCCACTGAGATACCTATGCCGCAGTGAAGCATGAATACCCCACTCAGACACATTATACTGACTCCGAGCCGACCAGTCCTTGTTGTACCCATTAATGCCGAGCGTCAGGCAGGGACCAACAAGTACCATATTTAAACGTCTTTTGGTATGACGTGGTCGGGGATCGAACCTGCGACCTTCCGCTCTCCAGGCGGACGCTCTAACCACTACACCACAGAGGCGGTTGTACTTAGGAGTGGAAGTGGAGCATATAACACAGACCTATAGAATGAGTGTGTCAGCTTTAGATGAGATAGTGCTACAGTTGTCAGTTATATGTGATAGAGAGCTGTATTATGAGTGAATCCATTGTTTGCAATAGAGATCTATGTAAAGAGAGTGAATTTGTTGTACGTACCATAGAACTGTTTATTGGGTAAATCAGTTTGAGGTGAGGTGAAATTGGGTTTAACGTCGTGCTTGAGAATATCTCGCTCATATGACGACGTGCATGCGTGTGTATGTGTATGTGCGGTTGCTTGTACTAGCCCAGACTTAAGCTGGTTTTATAGTGCTAGCCCACTGAGATACCACGCCGCAGTGAAGCATGAATACCCCACTCAGACACATTATACTGACTCCGAGCCGACCAGCCCTTGTTGTACCCATTGATACCAAACGCCAGGCAGGGACCAACAAGTACCATATTTTAACGTCTTTTGGTATGACGCGGTCTGGGATCGAACCCACGACCTTCCGCTCTCCGGGCGGACGCTCTAACCACTACACCACGAGGCGGTCTGTAAATCACTTAGATGTGATATTGAGTTGTAGAATGAGTTGTATGTAAGATGGAGTGGAGTCATTTATTGGGTAAATCAGTTTGATGTGATATAGAGCTGTGTATTAAGTGAATGAGTTTGATGTAACATTGAGTTGTTCATTGGAAAACAATCATGCTGATTGCAAGAGTCGACTAATGGGATCGGGTGGTCAGGCTCGCTGAGTTGGTTAACAGATGTCATCATATCCAAATTGTGTAGATTGATGCTCATGCTGTTGATCACTGGATTGTCTGGCCCAGACTCGATTATTTACAGACCGCCGCCATATAGCTGGAATATTTCGGAGAGTGGCGTTAAACAACAAAGTTTTAACAAACGAAACAAAACAAATGCAATCTTTTATGTAATCTTCATGCTTTTTAAGTGTTCGAATAAATCGGTTTACAAAACACTGGTCGTATGGGTCAAAAATAATTTACAGACCTCTGTCATGTAGCTGGAACACTGCTGAGTCTGGCGTTAAACAACAAACAAACAAACAAACAAAACGCTGACTTCTAATTCACTTTCCACAGGGGATGAGGAACTCTTGAATCACTTGTACTGGGATGCAGTTATGGCTAAAACTGTGGAAGAATTCTTCATCATTGTGAAAGAAGCCATTGTGTAAGTATTGCTGAATTGACAATAGTAATGATCTATATCCTGTGTAGATAAGTGTAAATAAGCCTATGTGAAAGTATAGGTGAATTGACAACAACAGTAAGGAGCTATGTAATGTTTAGATAAGTCATGATAGTGCATGGTGAGCTAGGGCATAGCTGTCCAGAAATCTAAAAACTGGACATCTGGCTGGTCAGATCAATTCAAACATTTCGTTCCTCACTGTTCTTTGGTAAGTTTTATAAGATGTTACTTCGTGTGTGGAACTCTGTCCAGTATGAAGAGATTCAGGAATAGACATTGCCCACCTGCCCGTCTGCTCAGGAAAACTATGAAAAATGTTATCGTCTGTTTTCTTGAAACTGTTCTTGAAACTTATTCCATATTTGTTGCAAACATGATGCATAATGGTGCTGAATCTGTCTTATGAGTATAATCCATATTATTCCTGTTCCGGACTCTCCTCAATTTCTCCTGTTTGGGGAAGATTGCATGACCATGAATGTCATTGTCAGAACATGCTGAATGTTTTCGAAACGTTGAAACTGCTTGTCCAATGTGAAACTTACATGTTTCTGTGAAGCAGTGATAGGGGAGATAATGCTTGCAGGTTCCATAGGAGTTATCCCCCTTGATGAGTAGAGATTTTTGTAGCTATTTAGGCTGGGATAGGGTCAGAGAGTTCTGGATAGGACCCACACAACACCCCCGACCCAATTGGTCACTTGATATATTGTTTAAAGGCAGGAAAAATAAAACTTCATGGTGAAAGTACAAGTCTCTCATATCTATCTGACCATGCTTTCATTGCTTCCTACTTTTGTAAGTATGAATATTGATACAGCTCAGTCCTCTTTCATGTGTACATGACCAGATTGTTTTACACATGTACCTCAATGCTTTTTGACAATGATGCAGTAAAACAATTCCCAGTGGGACATTTTGTACCCAGCTCGATTGAGTGAGTGAGTATTACGCCGTTTCTTGCAACATTCCAGCAATATCACAGCAGGGGACACCAGAAATGGCCTTCACACACACAATATGCCCATGTGGGGAATAGAACCAGGGTCTTTGGCGTGACGAGCAAACGCTTTAGCCACTAGGCTACGCCACCACCCTTACCCAGCTTGACATCTTCAGCGGGTACCTGGAAGGGTTGGGTAATAAAGGGTTGGGTAACCAACCCTGCAGTACAACTGGATTTGAGTAGGCTTTTATGATTATGGTATGTTTAATTGCTTGACATTCAAGGATAGTTGACAGTGCTGTGTTGTTATGATGTTTTCAGTAACACAACAGATGGACGATCAGGTGTATATTACTGACATGTTTTCTTCTTGCATCTGGTTGCTGCTGGCTTGAGTGGTGGTGATGGTGGTGATGGTTATGTGATCAACAGCATCTTGTCTTGTTTACCTCTTCAATCTAACACAGTTGGAGTATGACTAACTCTTCCTTTAAGAGATTGACACGATTACATCAGCATCCATTGGTGGGGTCATTGTTGGCACAGAAACTACAGAAACGTGCCCCACGTACCGTCCGTATACACAAATGTACCTTTGAACTCGTTCCACAAGGTGATCTCAGAGCTTTGAGTGTAGTACACCTATGTTAAAGTATGGAAGTTGCTATCAACTTAGCGCTAAGATTGTTTTGTGAAACGAGGACCAGGTACCTTAATGAATGCACAAGTAGACCCCATTTACCTTTCTGTTTACACAAATTTACCCTAACCAACGTCAGAGCATGGAAATTTACAGGTACCCTAGTGTGGCGATATCAACAATGTTATTCAGGATAAATGACCAAACTGGTTCATTTGTATCTTCAAAATTCACTGAAGATTCATTTTTGATAGTACCTATAAATTATGTTCTTTGTATCAAATCAATGATCAGATATGAGAATAATGTTCTGAATTTTTCTTGCAAGGGATGATAGTTTAAAAGAGAGAAGTCTTAGAAAATATGTAACCATTGCCATGCATATTGCCTCACTAGGTTATGTTTGTGTGTACAGAAATGTATTTGGGGTATTGAGTGGTATTGGCTTGACCTTGGCTTGACCTTGGCATTGGCTTCATAACTCATGCTTTGGATGACCTCTGTATTCTCCTTTCACTTGTCTGGCCTTGACCCTCTAACCTCTGACCTGGCTAAACTGTCTCTTGACCTTTGTCATATTAGATGTTGGTTTTTTAATTGGGTTTTGTCAAGAGAATGGCCGAGTTGTATGGTGTTGATTTCCCTCATGTTTCCCTGAAAACTAATTATGGTCTGTTACTGTTTCGACTGAGGATGTGTACTAGTGGAAAACAACTCTTGTGCATCATAAGAGAATCATTATCACATTAAAAATTTGCATAGATTTGTAAAAAACCTGTATGATAATCATGCAAACAAACACTTAGTCATTACCAGTGATGATCTTGACATTCGACACGCATCCTAATCATATCTTGCAACACTGTCCACAACTCTAAAAATGAGTGTGTGCAGTTGGAATGCTTGAAACTGGAATTGCGGAATATAATTGTGAGTTGTTGTTTTGGTGTTCATCATGAAACCATACAGGAACTGTTATAACAGACAGTTAACATCAAGGACGAACCACATTCTGTACCGTCATGTTAGTGCAGAGGCCATTAAAATACCGAGTACTGTGCTGGAATTCGAACCATGGACCTTCTGATCTGAGTGAGTGAAATTTACGCCAGTTTTAGCAATATTCCAGCAATATCATGGCAGGAGATACCGGAAATGGGCTTCACACATTGTACCCTTGTGGGGAATTGACGAGTGAAAGCTTTAACCATTAGGCTACTCCACCGCTCTTCAGATCTGAAGTCGGATGCCTTGTCCACATGCCTTGACCAAAGAGTTGACAAGGTAAGGATGTCACGCCGGGTACAGTAACAAGGTAATCCCCTTTATCCGATGCAACAGCTTGTTTTGAAAGCCCAATCCCTGTTCTCTTGAGGGCAAGAACTATGGGGAATTCATGATGACAGCATAGCATCTGGCCATGTCCATATGCAGGCCTGGCATTGTTGGTGCAGCAGCAGCAAGTCTTCCTCAACCATATTGTGTCATCGGTGATATGCCATGGTCAAGCTTGTGACACTGGCCATCATACCTGATATACTGACATGGGTACTGACCATTGACCCTACTCACCTTTCAGCCAGGCGATGACATCCACAGAGGACATATGTTGACACTGTCATGACGAACTCATGCGACCCATGAAGATCAGGGTTAGAATTGATCTTCAGTAACCCATGCTTGTTGTAAGAGGCGACTAACAGGATTAGGTGGTCAGTCTCGCTGACTTGGTTGACACATGTCATCCCAATTGCGTAGATCGATACTCATGCTGTTGATCACTGGATTGTCTGGTCCAGAAACAGTTATTTACAGACCACCGCCATATGGCTGTAATATTGATGTATGCGGCATAAACAACAAACCAACAAACCAACCAACCAACCAACCAACCCTTCTCATCTTTCAGCCTGAGATGACTTTCGCAGAGGACATATGTTGACACTATCATGACAAATTCATGTTTCATATAGACATACATTTATACATTTCTTCTTTTACAAATCTGTTCTATGTTTGTGTTTAACATTTACCATGATAGTCAGTGATGCACAGGAAAACGTTTTCCTCAAGTATATATTTTTAGAGGCCAGTTGTGATATTTCTGCAGGCATTGTAGCATATTGATGTTGGAATGTTTTTTTGAAACATGACTTTCTAACATTTAGAAAACCTGTTAGAATCAATCATACATGAAATAAATCCATTGGCATATTGAAAAAATATCATATTGAATATTCTTAAAGGTGGTTTCAAGATACTCTGTGAACATAGGTCAATGCAAAGCCAGAAAAAGTATCCTGTTTTCAGACAAACTGTTTTTTGTCTGTCACAGAAGCTGAAATTCCACAACTGCTTTGGTTTCAGATGTGACAATATCGACTTTGTTTTATCTCGTAATGGGCGAATATATCGTTATGATTTATGATAATTATCATGACTGTTTTCTATCATTTCTGAATTTCTGAAAATCATCTGTTTAATGTTTTGTTTAACTTTATTTTTCATTCTAACATTTTAGAATCTGCATTCAGTAAGTTCCAGTTCACCATATTCATAAACATTCAGTTTCAATTCAGCATATTTTGGAGGTCATCTAAGAATAATCAAATTAGTCTTTGAAGCGAGGTGAGCTGCAGTACCTACAGCTTGATATCACTAACTATAGCAGATTGTAACTACAGGCATCTTTTGCAGTGACACCAAGGGCCATATCTTCACTTTCATGAGTACAAATGGAGGATTAACAAGAGTCTTCCCGAAGAAGTAAGTGGCTTGATAACTTTCTGTCATACAGCAGTGTTCCAGCTATATGAATGCTACCTGTGAATATTTCAACCGGACAAAAGGGTGATTGAAATCATGAGTAACATCTACTGTTACTGGCAAACAAGGATAAGTTGGACCGGCGCAGAGAACGTGTCTGACCATCCAATCCACAGGTTGCCCGTGTATCTGACCAGCCAATCAACAGGTTGCCAGGCTTAATACATATTCCTTGAAAGGACTCTTTTTCAGCCTGGTTGTGTATGATTCAGTTTAACGGGCACAGTTGGACGAATGATCTGGGGCAGGGCACTTCAGTGAGAGAGCTGCTGGTGTTAGCTGTTCCTGGATCCACTGAACATATGTTCAGTTCCTAGAATTCCCCAGTTAAGAGTTTCTTTTCTCAGTCTTTTTAGGTCATTCCAGTGCACATAAGTTCCTGTCTCTGGTGTTTCTCTGACCTTTGTTTGACACAGAACTGAAATACTGTTCAGAAGGTGTTGTCAACTTTGTAACTACTTAACGGGTGGATTAACATGATTTAGAAAACGGGTGGATTAACCTGATTAGAAAATTGTGTATGTGTAATAACAGTACATACTTTTTTCTGTTTGTAAATAAACCTTGTGTTTAATTATGACATGTTATCTGTTAGTCTTTTGTTCACTCGATTGCATTATATTAGCTTTCCAGGCATGAAGATCCGGGTTAGAATTGGTCCTCCGCAACCAATGCTTGTCGTGAGAGATGACTAACGGGATCGGGTGGTCTGACTGGTTGACTTGGTTGACACATGTCATTGTATCAGCAGATCGATTGATGCTTATGATGTCAATCACTGGATTGTCTGGTCCAGATTGTTTCTGGTCCGGGCTGGAAAATTGCTGAGGCAACAAAGAAACATATCAGCTTCCATTACCATGTGTATCATAAATCTTCCTTTTCTTCCCAGCGCAAGTTCTTCCTTCATGAACAATACGAACCCAAAGACATCACACTTCTACAAACGAGTTCTGTCATCAGATAAAAATGTCTTCTTCATTGAACCATTCTCAAGACGTAAGTTCCTTAAAAGATTTATATGTCTATTGAGCCCTCCTCTTGGCTGTCTAGACATTCCAGAATTATATTTTGTTTATTTTAAATTTTTTGATTCTAGCATTTTGTCAAAAGTTGTCGTTTTGAAAGATCGTCTGTATTGGTAGTTGCCATTTTGAAAATTGTGCCGTGAGGTCAAGACAATTTCTGTTTGATTGGCTACTGTTTACTTGCTGTTAGTCAGACCTGTGAAGGTCCGGGTTAGAATATTGATCTTCAGTAACCCATGCTTGTCGTAAGAGTCAGCTAACAGGATCGGGTGGTCAGGCTCTCTGACTTGGTTGACACAATGTCATCGGTTCCCACTTGCGCAGATCGATGCTCGATCATGCTGTTGATCACTGGATTGTCTGGTCAAGACTTGATTATTTACAGACCACTGCCATATAGCTGGAATATTGCTGAGTGTGGCGTTAAACTACACTCACTCACTCACTCACTCACTCCTGTTAGTCAAGTCACTGATTGGGCAAAGTATACAAAAGGTCATTCTTACTTGCCCCACACAGGATGAAATTAGATGTTGGTCACTGAAATTTGACCTAGTCCCAAATTTTTTTATTATTTTAATTTGGTTTCCAATCCTCAACCAACAATTCTTACTCTATATAGAATAATGGCAAGAGACAATCAGTTAAAATTTGGTCCTGTCAAGATTTTAATCATTGAAAAGTTTACAAACCCACTTGTAATATAAAAGATGCCATCTTCCTACTCCATTTGTTTATGTGACATAAGGGGCAGTAGGGTAGCCTAAGAATGGTTAAAGCTTTCGCTCGTCACGCCGAAGACCTGGGTTCGATTCCCCACATAGGTACAATGTGTGAAGCCCATTTCTGGTGTTCCCCTCTGTGATATTGCTGGAATATTGCTAAAAGCAGAGTAAAACTAAACTCACTCACTCATTATGTGACATACTAATTTCATCAAGTGTTGCAAACAAATTGCCTTTATTTTTATTTTCCATTGAAAGATATGCATCTTATTTATAAATTGTAATATTATCAGCATCCTTGTTTAAAAGCATCCAGTAATGATTGTCAGAGTTTTTCCGAGTTCATAGTTTTGTAAAATTGAACACTGGTAGGAATACAAACTTCCTTCATTTATTGCATTCATATTTAACATTGTTTAAAGTCACTATATCATACCACACTTCTCTAAAAATAAATAATGCATTTCTCGCAATGATACCAACTATCAGCCCTCAGGGAAGCTACCTTATGATCTTATATTTGTAAGAATTACGTTTTTAGATTGCAATATTTAATTTGAATGAATTAATACACTGTTGCATTAAATGGACTCTTGCGCTCTCTCCTGGACGAACATTATTTTATGCGAACCCCATAGAGTTATGTCCTTTGGAGCGCTCTTTACGAATATCATATACAAAACTTGTGAGTGAAACTAGTTCGGCAAACACCGTGTGCAACAGTTTCCAATGTACAGAGCAAATGTTTACATTCCATATATGGCAAGTGTTCCCTGTCTGGAAGCTGTTCATCGATTTCAGGCAAGTTGTAAGTCGATAATAAGTCTTTTATTGCATCAATAGGAAGTGAGTGCATATGTCCCAATACATATGATATATGCCAAAATATTGTGGAAAATGTGTGACATTGTGCCCTTATGATGTTAATATCTGGTTCATGCTGATGTTTTTACTCTGTTTTTCCTTGTACAGCGGTTCAGGATGGCAATGACACCATTCCCCCTGATGTGACGATTGGAAAAGCTTTTACTATCAAAAATAACGTAAATGGACAGACAGCTTACAAGCCAGGAAGTAAGTCTTGACCCTGCATTGTGAAACTAAGGTTTTATGCTGGGATCAGTTTGGTTATCAATGTGAAAATTTTCTGGAAGCTTCACTTATAAGTTACCCGTGAAGATCCGGGTTAGAATTGGTCTTTTGCAACCATGCTTGTCATAAGACTTATTAAGAGGCGACAAATGAGATCGGGTGGTCAGGCATGCTGACTTGGTTGACACATGTCATCATATCCCAGTTGATCGATGCTTATGCTGTTGATCACTGGATCGTCTGTGCAGACTCGATTATTTACAGTCCACCGCCATATGGCTGTAATATTGCTGACTGCAACACTAAACAACAAACAACCCTACCCTACTCACCGTTAAGCCTAAGATGACGTTCACAGAGGACATAGTGCGGAAGGTCGCGGGTTCGATCCCCGACCGCATCATACCAAAAGACGTTTAAATATGGTACTTGTTGGTCCCTGCCTGGCGCTCGGCATTAATGGGTACAACAAGGACTGGTCGGCTTGGAGTCAGTATAATGTGTCTGAGTGGGGTATTCATGCTTCACTGCGGCATGGTATCTCAGTGAGCTAGCACTATCAAACCAGCTTCAGTCTGGGCTAGTACAAGCAGCCGCACATACACATACACACGCATGCACGTCGTCATATGAGCGAAATATTCTCAAGCACGACGTTAAACCCAATTCCACCACCACAGAGGACATATGTTGACGCTGTCATGGAAACTCATGTTTCACATGTTCAGTGTTGTGTGTTGTTTGTTTCAGTGATGGGAGCACAGTTCATGTACAGCCGGGTGATTTCCAGTCTCCATGAAAAGACAGCCGAGGACATCTATTATGACTGCGCTGATGTAGACTTCTTAAACTGTTACCTGGTGGATGAGGGGGGATTTCTCATTGCTTCCAATCAAGAGGATCACAACATGCAGGTAGGACATCTCCCATGACGTGGAGCGCAATAGTGCAGTTGTAAGGCGTCCGCCTATCACGCTGAAGGTCCGGGTTCGATCCCGGTGGAGGCATTTCAGTTCGGGTCCCGAGGTGGGCACATTTGCGTAGTATCCTTGGACAAGATACTTAAATCCACATTGTCACTGTTCACCCAGCTGTAAAATGGGTACCCGTGAGGATGTGCTGGCAATGTGAGTGCTGAGTTCATTGCGCCTAACAGGCACCATGGCTGTATGATCCCCAGGGTGTTGAAAAAGTATCGGAAAGTATGATTGTGTCCTATGACCAGGGATAGTAAATGTACATAGCACCTTGAGCAGGCAATGTGCCTGGATATGAGCGCCATATAAGCGGACTATTACTATTACATAGCGTTCTGCGGCCACAAGCTTATTTGTATATCATGTGACCAGATATGTGACTAGAGTTGGGGCATTGGGGTAGCCTAATGTTTAAAGCATCAGCTCGTCACGCTGAAGTCCTGGGCTCGATTCCCCACATGGGTACAACGTGTGAAGCCTATTTCTGGTGTCCACTGCCGTGATATTGCTGGAATATTGATAAAAGCAGTGTGAAACCTCACTTTCACTAACTTTACTGCTTTTTGGTACAGCTTTATGGAAATCTGGTATTTACAGATTTACATTTAAAATTTCATGGTATTGAAAGTTGAAAGATGTGCGACAGCAGCTCAACGGAAAGGAGCATGATCTAATCACTAGGTGCGATAGGGAGCGCTGTGGTTAAAGTGTCCACTCATCACAATGTAACGTCACAAAGCCCATTTCTGGTGTCCGCTTCTGTGATATTGCTGGAATATTGCTAAAAGTGGCATAAAGCCCAACTCATGAAATCACATATCACTGGGTGTCCATATTGTGTTGAGGTGCTGTGGGGTAGGTAGCCTTGTGGTTAAAGCATTTGCTCATCACGCTGAAGACCCGGGTTCGTTCCCCACATGGGCACAATATGTGAAGCCCATTTCTGGTGTCTCCAGCCGTAATTTGGCTGGAATATTGCTAAAAACAGTGTAAAACTAAACTCACTCACTCATATTTTGTCGATGCCTGCATGTGGACCCAGCAACCTTTGTTAACAAGATGGAAAGAGGTTTCTTACTTTTTTCTCTATAAATGTTAAGGATATATTAACATATGGTTGTCTTAATGTATAAATATTTCAGGAATAAGATAATTGATGAGCTTTATGTCATTTGTTGAATGAATGGTGTTAGAGTTGATGACTAATCTTGGAGGTACCAGATCAGTTACACCTTTTTGCCACATACTGATGTTATCTTCACATGTAATGTATAGAGTTATGATCCTCTATTTGTATCTGAAATCCTTTGTTAAATTTCATTGAGATTATTTTTTCCCCGCCACAAAGTGGGAGGGGGATATAGGTTTGACCCCTGTCCATCCTTCCGTCAATACGAGATGATGGGAACAGATTTTCTCAGAAACCGTTATAGATAGGGAAACCAAATTTGGTATGTGTTTTGAGGACATGGATGCCTTGAGGGAGTTTGAAAACGGAAACGGTGTTACAATTTGTTGTAGAGTTTTGGCCCTTGTCATGCGTTTCTTGACTTAGTGTTTGGTATCACTAATCAGTAACCGTTATAGATAGGGAAACCAAATTTGGTATGTGATTTCAGGACATGAATGTCGTGGTGGAGTTAAAAACAGGAACCATATAGGAACAAAACACTGGGGCGGGGAATATTTTCTTGCCATTGATGCGTTCATTTTTTTCTCCAGATTGGACAGTTTCTGGGTAAAGTGGATCCTCCTGTGATGACCAAGCTTTTTAATGCCTCAGTTTATGAACGGTAAGGACAACAAACTTGTTAAGATTATAGTTCATTAATTATTCACATTTAAATCACCTCTGGTCACCTTGGACTGCATGATTCTCAGGGAGTTGAGAATGATAACTGGTTGGGGAAGAAATAGTCCTTATTTGAGTAGAAGTTAGTACGTGGATAAATGTGGTACATGTAATATGATATAAGACATTATTCATAGTCAAATTGACACAGTTGTTGTTACTGGCAATCAAGGATAAGTTGAGCACCGACCTGACAAATGACCCGTGTTAGCATGTGTGAGTGCCACCCACTGGCACTTGCCATTGTGAGCAAGGGGGCCCCAGGGGGAAGGGGCTACACCGACCACATGAGGGTCTTATGAGCAAGGTGCGGAATCAATTTCATCGTCATGCACTGCATGTGCACTAGCCTACATCTGCTCTACCTTTCACAAAACAAATGGGTTTGCTCACTGCAGTGCACCGCGTACTTCTCGTAAATGCGTTGTCTGCAACGGTCCAACTTATCCTTGTTTGCCAGTAGGAGAGAGTCTGTTCCATTATTTCACTACGTTGTCTGGTCCAGACTCAATTTGTTAGCATATAACATCATACAGCTGTAATACTGCTGAAACCAATATCTGCTCATGATATAGTCATAATTGTACAATCTATTAGGAAAGTCTATGGATGGCTTCCAAAAATAAAAATATAACTGATAGCAGCAGGATAATCTATTTTTCCAGGATTAAGCACTATGACTACCAAGTTACGCATGACTGCTCATCGGATGAGAAAGAGACAAGCGCGCTGGTTTCTCTTCGTTTAGAATTGTGAGTACATTGTGTTGTCATGACTTGTCCCTATTCTAATCTGTACTGACCCACGAATTTCCGGGGTAGAATTGATCTTCAAGAGACGACAAATTGGATCAGGTGGTCAGGCTCACTGACTTGGTTGACACATGGCATTGTATCCCAATTGCGTAGATTGATGCTCATGATGTTGATCACTGGATTGTCTGGTCCAGACTCAATTATTTACAGACCGCTACCATATAGCTGGAATGTTGCTGAGGGTGGCGTAAAACTAAACTCACTCTCTCACTCATTTATCTCTTTCTTGACATTTCATTTCAGCCATCCATCAACCTGTTGTACGATGCTCTCACATTGAACTGGTGGACAAGTAAATTTTTCTGGTAAGTAGAGAAGAGACTGTCCTTTGAGGAATGTATGTACACGCCTGTTAACGATTTACTGTATTTGATTTCCAACCACCTTGTAGTTTGTGTGGGTGGCGACATGTATTTTGTAAACTTTTTTTTTAAATTGTGATAAAGGCATTTCTTAGAAATGACTGTTGGATGTGATTCTCATGAAGAGTGCATTATGTCAGGCACTGGATTTTCTGGCCCAGTTCAATTATTTAAACACTGCCAACATGCAGTTGGAATATTGTTGAGTGCAAAGAAATCAATCTCAAAAAAGTCTGTCATAACCATCCTCTTCAAATGAGCATTCGACTAAGCGCACATGAGCAGGACTCCAGATAAGGGCCGTATCGGCGTATGTACGGCTAACACATATGCACAATACGGTAGGAAATAATTTAGAAAACGTAGCAGATACGCACCACTGCAGGTGTCACGGTCTTAGAATCATTTACAGACGTATTTATATGAAAAAAGTATTGTTTTATTGGGTTTTTTACCTGTTCACACAAGAGTAGCAAGGTTGTGGCGCATATATGAAATGAAACACAAGATTACTGGTACTCCATTAAATTCCATTCAGTACTCTAAATGTATTCTTAAGGTTTTCCAGTACTCCTATATTGAACAAATAAGGAGTACGTACTCCTTGTGTTCAAAAATTATCTGGAGCCCTGTAGTGCTATACAAATGTCTAATTTGATTTGATTTGATTTAACGGTTTTTAGTTACATTGTCTTAATCCGACAAGATACTTCCATTGTTATCTTGACAAATATGTGTGTCAGAATCTCATCCGTATTTGTTCTTCTTCCAGGGCATATTTGAATTTCAACTTCTGGAAGTAAGTATTCTTTTAATAATGCATTTGACTTTCCTGTATTTATTCAACTAAAAGCTGCACAAACAAGTTTGAAATGTAAACCTGAAGTTGACTGGAAGTTCCTGTATGAGATTACCTTCAGAACAGTGTCTTTACGTTCTGTCCTATATAGACCTGTGAAGATTCGGTTGACACATGTCATCATATCATGATTGCGTAAGGATCGAAGCTCATGCTGTTGATCACTGGATTGTCTTGTCCAGACTCAATTATTTACAGACTGCCGCCGTGTAGCATGAATATTGCTGAGTGTGACATAAAACTAAACTCACTCACTCACTCTTCAGCAACCCATGCTTGTTGTATGAGGCTACTAACGGGATCGGGTGGTCAGGGCCTTGTTTCACAAAGCTCTCATAGGCCTAAGATCTCGTAACCTTTCTCGTAGCATTCGTACCTCCTATACTGTAACATAGGGAGTAAGAATGCTACGAGAAAAGTTACGAGATCTTAGGCTTGCGAGAGTTTTGTGAAACGGGGCCCAGGCTCGCTGACTTGGTTGACACATGGTCATCTTAGTGTTGATCACTCAATTGGCTGGTCCAGACTCGATTATTGACAGACCGCTGTCATACACCTGGAATATTGCTGAGTGCGACATTAAACAAACAACAAAAAAAAAGGCTGTCCTGTAAATATGCTTGGCTGATAGTTCCTTGTGTAATAGTTATTAATGCTGCCTATTTGGTTTTGTATTAATGTATTAATATTGAATATATCTTCTTTGTGTTTAGCTCATGGTTCTCGCCTCAAGAGACATATGGTGAGTTCTGGTCATGATGCCATTGATGCCAAAATGAGATGCTTTACATTTGTCACAATATAGATATAACGATAGGAAATATTTTAAGATATTTTTGTCATAAAAATGAATTCTTCCATACTTTAAACTATAATTTTTATGTTAAGATTTAGTTAATAAATAATTGGTGACTTCCTGTATGGCTAATGTAGAATTTCCAAGACAGTAGCTCACTAGCTTCACTTCTGAATGTGACTTTTTCTTGCAGCAAATGACGAGAGTTGGACAGGAAGTGCTGAGACTTGTGTTGAGGTTATGTATCAGTACTACTATGGCGCCAACAAGACAATGACGGACACTGCAGAGTGTGACAACTGTACCAGGTGAGTGTTGGTCATTTCATGTCAACTGACATGACAATTGGTGAGAGTTCTGAACATGACAACTTTACCAGGACAGTATTGAGGTCATGTGTCTGTATGTACTCATGTTAAAACTGTGCTTACGTATTGTGATACCTATAGACTAAAGCTTAGTCTCTGAATAATCACGTTTAAATTGAAAAGGAGCCCCAGTGAGCTTGGAGATTCTGAATCTGAGAAAATCTGGACTTGCTTCATTTAGGGCTTTAGGAACTGGTAGGCAGTAGGGAAAATTGTGAAGTTCAGGGACTGAGACAGACTATGATACCTCTAATGACAATCTGGATGATCAAGAGGCTCTTAGCATCTCTGATATTGGTACTGATGCTGATATTGATCCATAGGATAATCAAATTACTATACAAGGTGTCTGTACTGATGCTTTTTATCTCCAGGACAATCCAAGCTGTCCGGATGGATGTACACACAAATCTGCTGCTGGTAGTGGCCGACCCAATCTGCTCGGAGTGCGACACTTTCTTCAATGAAATGCCTCAGGCACCTGTCAAAGTCAATGAAGACGGTAAAGCAATGTTTTTTTGCACTTTTACACCATATGCCTTTCTCATTATCTGTGATTTTGACAGCTTGATGATGTCGCTTAATACTCTTGATACAAGACCAGTGAAGATCTGACCGGATCGGGTGGTCAGTGAGTCAGTATGGTTTTACGCCGCGTTTAGCAATATTCCGGCAATATCACGGCGGGGGACACCAGAAATGGGCTTCACACATTGTACCCATGTGGGGAATCGAACCCGGGTCTTCGGCGTGACGAGCGAACGCTTTAACCACTAGACTACCCCACCGCCCCTCGGGTGGTCAGGCTCACTGACATAGTTGACATGTCATCATATCCCAATTGCATAGATCGATGCTCATACTGTTGATCCCTGGATTGTCTGGTCCAGACTCAATTATTTACAGACCGGACCCATATAGCTGGAATATTGCTGAGTGTGGCATTTAACAACAACAAACAAACAAACAAACTAGCAAGAAAGCAAACAAAATGATACAAATATAACATGTCTTTCTTGCAGAGGAGAAGGAAGTAATCTGTGACATGGCCAGAACTCCACGCTACAGGAAGCCTGTACAGGGATGCTATAGCAAGGACCCAAGGGTAAGTCATGATGATGATGATGATGATGATGATGATGATGATTATGATGATTTGGAGATTTAACGCTTTCAGACATACTGTGCATTGCATACATGAAGGGTAAGTCAGCTTAAATGTTTGTAAGATACATATTGCAAACAAAGACATTCCATTGATAAGAAAAGTTATGATATTTTTTTATAACAACTTCTTTGTTGTATTATGATGTGACGTTTCGGTATAGATTCTTATACTGATGTCATCTTATTATTCATCAACTTCTATAATGCCATCAAACAGAACATTTCATTAATGTTTTAGATATAGGATAGGATATGTGATTAAAATAAGAATTGATACAAAATTTAAGTATGATTGATACAGGTAGCTATGTTTCATGTACCATATCATCTGAGAATATTATCAATGCATTGATATACTGATTACTCGTGAGTACTCGTGATGGAGCGATTTACCAAATAAGCGGTCAATCAATCGATCTTGGTTGCGACAGCAATTATTGATGACTTTGGGAGACTAAATGATATTCGTAAAAAAAGAAACATCAATTTAAAACTTTACAAAGTATGTTTCACATTGGTATGTTTGTTAAATCAAGGCATAAATAACTGATGCACTTTCCTGGCTTGTACAATTGCAATGTTTACAAACAACATCCTCGTATGCGTGTCTCAACAGGAAGTGTTCTTAATCGTCTTGATTGTGGTGTTTGTTTAGTTTGTTATGATTGTGTCTGTTATTGCCAACATTTTGTGGTGGGGTTTACAAGTACAGTTGATTATTGATTGATTACTGAGTTGATTATCAATCTGCGTATTGTAAGCTATAACCAGCGATTACCGTCTTCATTGAAAAACATCCCACAGATGCAGAGCTCAAGTATGAGAAATTCCTTTTCATAAACACATGCTCACACTGTGGTCTGAATCATAAATCCACACTTCTTTGAGCAGAGATTTCTTGATTATAGAAAGAAGTTTATTGTTTGTATTTTAATAGGGGTGAAATGGTACACTCTTACCACGGCGGTACGTATTGCTGAAAATGAAAACTGAAAATACGTAACTTTTGGATTGCATAATAGTATACCGAACCGAAGGCAAAATACAGCGGTTGTACTAATACTGCGTTATACAATTTCACCCTATATTTAAACTATCAAAATTTCCAATGACATAACATTTACTTAATTTCAGGAGGATGCATCGAAGTGTGGTTGCATGTCAAGCACAACAGCGTCCATGTCCACCATTCTGCTGTCTATAGCGGCCATCTTGTGCAGTGTCCCGTACCTAACTCAGCCCCACAGCTGACCAGCAGGTCCGGCGTAGGACCAGCGCATTCTCCATACTTGAATAATCTTGATACCAAATGCCCTGATGAAGACACTTTTTATACAAAACTATTTTCCTTGCACCATGAATGGACTGTGAGAGTCGTACTTGTATATAAATGTCTATGGACATGTGTTGATAGTGCTCATGTGTATGATTTCAAACTTTGATATTTTACTTTTGTACTGCACTCCAAATTTAAATCACGAAGAATATGACAATGTATGCCGTTATCAATATTTTCTTATGAGTTTTATATTGTCTTTAAATTTAGAAATAACGTGCAATCTAATATAAACAGAAATGTGTTTTGGGATGTTCTTTTCAAGGAGGAAGTATTGTTGTAAGAAATTCCATCAAATATGTTATTGTAGAGTTAACATTGTAAATTTGTAAAATTTGTATATATGTAAAAATAAATTATGACGATATAGAGTATCCGTATATCAGAGTCAACTATGAGGCTAGGTGCGAAATGGATAACATGAACAATTAAAGGATTTACGTCAAGTTGTGTTACCGTGGTGGTGATATCTATGACAGGGATTGATCTTGTGATACGTATCAACTGCTTGTACAGTGTGAGTATTCATTCCAACATACATGTAGTCTTAACGTCCTTGGTTGTTGTTTTTCATCTCGACCCTTCACTTCCCATTGCATGCTTTATATTAACTTTCGCATAATCGTCTGTAATACTTGCAGCATGTGCTTTGACATGCTCTATTATTTCCAATTAGTTTTTCTTCCAGTTGGCTCTTGCATTGGTGCTAAATACAAGCTAAGGGTGTCGAGATCAACCATTTTGCCAAAGTCCCTTGTTTCGTGGAATTTTGTTTCTGAATTTTCTTGTAACCATTTAGGGAAGCATTGTCATTAATGGTACTAACTACATGAGATACATTTTAAACAATGCCTGTGACGTATTGGTAAAGATACATGTATGGGTTTTTCGGTCTTTTATGTATTAATTTTGATTAAGTTTAAAAAAAGTGTTTTTAAGAGTTGAAATTTGTAAGTGTTTTGGTTATGTAAAATAGTGGGGAACATTCCAGTGAAGAAGATTAGATGATTTGCTTTACCATCGTAATATCCATCACTGGTTTGACTTAAGCTATTACCACTGATGTAAGTATAGAATAAAAGTAGATTTTAAGACAAATTAAACTATTTGACAGATCCCTTAAAATGGTAATATTCAACATAAAAAATGAAGTTCTTTGTAGCTTAAATTGCATGTAGTCTTGTTTTTTAAGAAAAATGTTTTTATTTGTAATGGCTTTAAATGACAGGTTTTAAAAGGACAAGAAAAGAAAACACACAAATCCCTAATTACCAAGTAATATTGGAACCAAATAATATAGTAATTCAAAGCTACCCAGTTCTGCTTCATCATGCATTTTGGTTACTGTAGATGATTTGACTATCAACATAACATGAACTAGTGCATGGATTGAGAGATGGAAGCAAATATTGCTCTTTGTTTAGTTTGTGCTTCCAAGTGAATAAAATTTTTGACTCTGGACAAGAGATAATATGATTTGGTAATTGTCCGTGTTCCTGAGAGTGTTTAAAGGAGATCAGTCATACTGGCAGTCCAGTGAGATAAATTAAAAAAACATGTCTGAAAATTCCATGGATAAATGTTAAGCACCAATTTCATTTATCTCAAACTTTGGTCCTTTTGAAAAAATGTTGACATATGGCGTTGGCCTCATCTTGATAAATGATAAAGATACCTCCAATACTGCTTGAAGAGATGGTGCGAGAACACACCCAGATTCCTCCATGTTATCTCCCTTGATGATGCTGAGAAGATTCAGAAACAGATAAACGGGTTATCAAATAATTATCACCATCTCGCAGCTGGCTTGTTTCTTTATTCCAAATGAATTTGAAAGAAAACAAATATTGTGAAATACTGGATCAAATGTCATGGGAAAATATAAGCTGCGCGTACTGTTTCTATCAGGTGAAGGCCTATGTTTATTTATGAAGTGGTTGGCATAAGTCAGTACCGAGACAATTTTTCACCTGCATTAAGGGAGCTGATTACGGACTGCTAGACCTTAGCTAAAATAGGCTCCAGATTGTCCCTAATTTCAGAGCTGGATGTAAGATCATTGATCGACTGTTGAATAACCTAATCTTTTGAAGAATGAGAATATATCGAAATCTTGTTACGTTTATTAAAGGGATGAAGAACAATAAAATTGTAATTGCATCGGCTTTGCTTTTGTTAATGAATGTTGGTTTCATTTCATTGGTCATCTACCACCGAATCGTCATGGCGTTTGTGATTTTAATATTGATTTTTATCACCACTTCATTTTAGAAGTTTTGTACCTGATACAGTGTGAGATGTATTTCCATGACTTGTTTGTAAATAACTGCATGTTTGTGACTGAAATGTTTTGAGCAAGTGTACAAGTACAACTTGAGTGAGTGAGTGTTTGCTTCCACCGGAACTGTACAGTTTTATAGGTCATTTATGCATGGTTGTTGATGGTTTGTTATAGCCCATGATCTCATGAATATTTTACAAGCACAGCAGCTGATAAGCTCTTGCACTGACTTAGCAACCCACCATTTCGTAAAAATAATGCTCTGATGGTAGAATTCTTTTTTAAAGACAGGCAGTATTTTTGGCTACTTTTTCAAAACATGCAATTGTTTCCTTTGAAGGGAGTTAATTTGTTTTAGGACTTCCTCTGTCCATTAACAGTGTATTTTTAATCTCAGCCTGAGAACAAATTGTGTTTTATCCAGTATTGTTTTGGAACATGTAATATGTTTTGTAGAATCAGAATATATGCTAGGGCAGTCATCATTCAGTGATGTTTACAAAAATTGTGGACATACATGTCCCTTCTTTTTAGTTGAGAAATTTAAAAAACACTCGGGTCAGCTTTCATAAGATATATACCATATTTTCCTGTTTTCCTGTACATTTGAGTATATTGTGAGCACAACTATTAGTTTCAAGTTTTGGGAAAGATTGCGATTTCATATATTGTCAGATATTTAGATACTACATAAATATTGTAATATGGTAATCGTTGCTTACCTGAGGTTACTTTGGACATTAGAATAAAAACGTTTTCCTTTAATCACAAAAACACTGAATTTTCACAATTTGACAAAAATGAGATCATGGGAGAGCTGGTTGCACAGAATTTGAACAGCACATCCAGATGTTGTGATCCTGTTTGATCATTACGAGGAGCGTGTATTTGTTTGATCATCCAGTTGTTTGATCATCCAGTTGGGTAGGTAGATATCCATCGTGGAATGTCTGTGTATTGTGTATCTCAGTGTGCAGTGTATTGGGTATGTAATAGGTCCATTGTTTGTTCAATATTGTTTTTCACCAATCAAGACCACATGAAATACGTTTTGATTATGTCTTTAGTCACGTGACCAAGTTGTATATATAGTAATTGCCATTGCCAGTCAGTAGCCATTGTTGTCTGTCTTACCACTGAGCATGGTGAGAGGGAGTAGAAGTGTAGCATCGAGAAGCATCATAGTGTATTGCTAGATAGGATTAGGTATCAAAGACCAGCCCTTTTTCTTTTTTGGCTTACAAAGTTTTGGCCAAAACACCAGGATTGGAAGATTTAAAAAGTGACAATTCAATTTATGATATTTTTTAATTTTATTTCCTAACAATATTAAGCGGGTAGAAATAAACCTTGGCAGAATTTCTTCAAAATTTGTGGTTTTGGAGTTTTTTCAGATACATTGTCAACATTCTTTAGTTATTGTATTTCTGGTCATTAATTCATATTGATACTAAATTTGGTTTGTTTTAACATATTTCTTATTTCAGGTTGAAGGGATACAAAAATCAGTTACATTTAATACTATTTTATTATTTTCACTTGTTCATTTCTTGGTGGATTGGTAGAAGGATTTGTAGACCAAGTTTTAGAAATGGCTGGTCTAATAGTGTAGGGGTTTTGTGAAATAAAGGGAATTGATAAATTTTACAGTTGAGGGTTCTGATATATATTGTGGTTAAAGGTCAAACTTGTAACAGTGAAAGGATCTTAACTTGATACTTCTTATGGTAACTAGATTATGGCGCAACACTTGTTTTGGCAAAAGGTTCCTGATATGATACTTGTTACAGTATAAGGATCCTGATATGATACTTGTTACAGTATAAGGATCCTGATATGATACTTGTTACAGTATAAGGATCCTGATATGATACTTGTTACAGTATAAGGATCCTGATATGATACTTGTTACAGTATAAGGATCCTGATATAAAACTTTGTACAGTATAAGGATCCTGAAATGATACATGTTATGGTATAAGGTTCCTGATATGATACTTGTTACAGTATAAGGATCCTGATATGATACTTGTTACAGTATAAGGATCCTGATATGATACTTGTTACAGTATAAGGATACTGATATGATACTTGTTACAGGGTAAGGATCCTGATATGATACTTGTTACAGTATAAGGATCATGATATGATACTTAGTACAGTATAAGGATCCTGATATGATACATGTTATGGTATAAGGATCATGATATGATACTTTGTACAGTATAAGGATCCTGATATGATACATGTTATGGTATAAGGATCCTGATATGATAACTTGTTACAGGATATGGATCCTGATATGATACTTGTTACAGTATAAGGATCCTGGTATGATACTTGTTACAGTATAAGAATCCTGATATGATACTTGGTACAGTATAAGGATCCTGATATGATACATGTTATGGTATAAAAAGGATCCTGATATGATATCTTGTATCAGGATAAGGATCCTGGTATGATACTTGTTACAGTATAAGGATCCTGATATGATACTTGGTGCAGTATAAGGATCCTGATATGATACATGTTATGGTATAAAAAGGATCCTGATATGATATCTTGTATCAGGATAAGGATCATGGCATGATACTTGTTACAGTATAAGGATCATGTTATGATACATGTTATGGTGTAAGAATCCTGATATGATACTTGTTACAGGGTATGGATCCTGATATGATACAGTACATATAATGGTAATATGATCTTGATGTGATACTTGTTACAGAAGGGCCCAGATAATATTCATGTTTCAAGGAAATAGTCTCAACATCATACAAATTGTGATGCTCTGAAACTGCTGTAAGTCCATACAGAATTGCTACTGGTGTCCATAATTTCTCCTCATCAGGGGGCTTATACAATTTTGAAAGTCACCATCTGCTCATGCATTCATGGTCTCTTGTATTTTTAATATTATCAACATCAATAATAGCATTTGGTTACCATGGAAACACCTTCCAATGGTACTTGTTGGGATCAGTACATTGTAGAACACTGAAGAGCAGATCACCCATCACATTTGCTGTAACAAGTAACCACAAACCGGAACGTCGTACTGTCTGTAATCAGTGTGTCAACTTTCTGGGGAACACAACAATCCTGCAATGTTCTAGTTAGA